CGTCGGGCTCCCAGTGCATGGAGCCTGCTTCTCCCTCTGCCTATGTCTCTGCCTCTCTCTCTCTCTCTCTCTCTCTGTGACTATCATAAATAAATAAAAAAATAAAAAAAAATTAAAAAAAAATACTCTTACTCGGTGTCTGTCTCCTACGGTCACAGAATTATAGTGAAGCCAATCTCAGATGCCATATAATTCTCTCAAATAATTCAGAGTATATCTCTAAAAGACAAGGGATCTTTTAAAAATATAGCTACAATAATTCTTTCAAACCTAAAATAAAATAAAATTCCTTTTTTTAAAAAAAGATTATTTATTTATTCATGAGAGAGAGAGAGAGAGAGAGAGAGAGAGAGAGAGGCAGGGACACAGGCAGAGGGAGAAGCAGGCTCCATGCCAGGAGCCCAACGTGGGACTCGATCCTGGGACTCTAGGATCGCACCTCCGGGGCCAAAGGCAGGCGCCAAACCTCTGAGCCACCCAGGGATCCTCTAAAATGAAATTCCTTAAAAGTGTCAAATATTCTCTCCAAAAAAAAAAAAAAATGTACCTAAGAAAAGAAAATCGAATGTCAAGGAAACATTATCCTGAAAGATGTAACGCTCAAAAACAAGCTATTCCCCTGCAACAAAAAGGAAACAGCATTCTCTAAAAGCAGAGAATTGGAGGTCTGGGGCTTTAATGGGGGAAATCCAGGAATGGCATGCAAAATGTGTAACATGTGCATATTGACATTTTTTTTTCCTTGGTTGACAGCATTCATCAATCAGAATGTCAAGAAGCCTGAGAATGAAACATTTAAAGACCTTCTGCCCTTGGTTATGGCTGTGTGCACTCCGTGCCACATCACCTCATATTGCCAGGAAGGATTAGTCAAGTAGGGAAACAAATCCACCTAAAATAACTCAGAGATCAAACTAAATTCAACTCAGCAACCAGTGAGCATACACTGGGTGCCAGACACTAGGTTACGATTTTGAGAAACAAGGGTAAATTAGTCCTAGTTAATTCATAGTTGAGAAGGAGGAGGGGTCAACCAGATTAATAAGAACTGCCATAGAATGTCACAAAAAAGGTACTTGCTTCAGGTATTTTCATGGGGAGCCAGATGAAGAAGCAATGATTAGGGTAGAGACTTTGAGCTTTTTAGTTACCCCCCCTTCAAACATACGAAGTAATGTGTTTTCTAGCACCTGTGATGCCCTCACTGAACGAGATGGGAGAGGTGATCATGAAAGCTGGGCAGAAGAGTTTACATGTAAGTGGTATTTTGAAAGTTAAGCAGTCCATCAGATCTGAGGAGACAGAGAGCCTTGTGGTGAGGGAAGGGAGGGCATTCCAGGAAGAGAAAAGCAGGAACAAAGAGGTGGAAATTACTGGCATGTGAGGGAACCAGAAGTGTGGTGACCTTAGTGTGTGGGAGGGGCTGGCTGACTGGAAATGCCGGCTGGGACCAGAAGTTGGAGCCTTCCAAGCAAGAACTGAACCTCTGTTCTGAGGCCAGTGGAAAGCTATTGACATGTTTTAAGTGAATCAATTCCGTCTTTACAGAGTATGTCTCATCATGCTTGGGTGGATGATGGGTGGGTGTTCAAGGTTTAGTGAACTGGTGGCATCTTGAATTAGCTGGATGAGGAGAGTTGAGAGAGAAGCAGGCTTCTTAGGAACCCGCTGGAACAGGCCAGGAGAGAGGTCTAGGGTGGCAGTAATAGAAAAGAAAAGAGACACAACACTTTCAGACATTTCAGAAAATATTATTTTTTAAAAGGTGACAAAAGAAACAGAAGAGAGACCAAAGCAAATTTTTAATGCAGTGTGGAAAAGTGTGTTTGTATGCTCCAGTTTCTTTCAAAAAGTGGGAATATACATATAAGCTATAAACATATAAACTATGTCTATATGAAACTTCTCAGGAAGGATCTGAGGGAAACAGATACCAATGGTTGCTGGGCATGGAGAAAAGACTGGGAAAAGAGGTAGGGAGGAGGCTGTTGTACCTGTGGCATGCTGAACCACACGGATGTGTTCTCTACTAACTACTTGAAGATTACAGAATTTCCCCCTTACTGCCATCCACGTAGGCAGAAAATAGCAGAAAGAGAAAGGTTTTGAGGACACATCTGGATTCCAATTCTGGCCCTGATACTTCCTAACTGTGGGGCTGTGGGCAAACATACTAAGTTCTTTTAGTTTCTGTCCTCTTTATTTGCTGAGATAGAGGTAACAATGACTAACTCAGGTCACTATAACAATGGTAAAAGTAAATTCTATACAATAAAGCATCTGCTAGAATATCTGGCGCAAGCTAAAAACTCCGTAAGTGGGTGGTAGCTATTTTATTACCAATAAATCTTCTTTGACATGAATACGTTCATAGTACAAGAAAAGTTCCCTGATCAAGTTTAAGGTATGCTCATTAGCTAACCTTATTCCTACATTAAATATTTGCCCTGTACAAAACGATTAATGTAATCCATCAGATGGATGCCATCCATTACGCACCCGTTTCTAGGAATTTAAACAACATAGCATTCATCTGCGTTTCTGGGTAGGTGTTAAGTTTTTTAAATGGCATTGACTAAATTCACTGAAGTCGTGTATTCAGAGGACTAAATGCCAACCAGATGCCATAAAGCAACAAGAAAATAGGTAATAAGTTGCTATCCTTGAGGAACTGACAACCTCAGTGAGACAAACAGGTGTGACCTTCAAGCAACCATGGCCCCAATTTGGCACAAGAGGTGGAAATGCTGGCAATGAAGTACCCAGTTCTAGAGAGGGATCCACCGAAAATGTTAGGTCACATGTTAGAGGAGGTTACTCTGCAAGCACTTGTGGGTTTCTGAATCTTCTGCGTGCTACTTATGTTTTAAATCAGTTGTAACTGTAGCAGTAACAGCGTTCTGAGCGTTACAAAAGATTGGTCACTCTCAAAAGCCTTACTACTTGGTCGTTTGAACAGGGACATCATTATTAAAGCATCATCACACAACAGTTTCTTTGTTATACACTGAGATGAATAATTACAAAGTATTTTCATGTGAGATGTTCTGGCTCGGATCTGCCTCAGCCTGTAAAGACGAAGCCTTAAAAAGAAAACAGCTGGAGTTTAGAAAAGATTCTGCTAAATGCAGGAAATAATGATGAACATCTTCCAGGATTTCAGAAGCGTTCGTGAATGCTTTAAAAAAAAGAAAAGAGAGAAAGAAAGAAAGAAAGAGAAAAAGAAATAGAAGCATTACAAGGCCAGAGGAAAATGCATTTCATTTCATATGTGGCACTGTGGGGAGAAAGAGTGGTTGGTGGGGATGCTTGACAAAAAAAAAAAAAAAAGTCTACATAATTATTCAAATATTTCTCTTTGAAGTAGATGCGTCTAGGAAGAAAAATCAATACTAGTCGGCAGAGAAAACCACAGTAACACATAAACGTTAATGTCTAAGGAAGCTTTCGTTGATGCCGTAAATATGTTACGGAGGCGCGCCCTGGAGGAACGACTGACTTCGTATTAGCCACTAAGTCCCGCTTCTGAGCCGCAGGAGGGTTCACACTTGTATTTACCCCCCCCCCCCCCCCCCGAGCTGCCTACGGTGGAAGCTCAAAGCTCGCTCGAGGCAACATCCAACAGCTGAATGAAGGTTGGATTAGCAGGCTAATCTACGGCTATATATAGACAGCAACACCGATTTAATCTCCGCCCTCTTCCCCCTCCCCTCCCTATTTCCATAAATCTCAAGATCTGAGTTACAAAGAGACCGGGAACTCTAAGCCGAGCGGAGGCCCTTCCTCCCCCCCTCCCCCCAGGCCATCGCTCCTAAACCAAGTATTAGTTCAAGTGTAAATTGCTCCCAAACATCCTTAACTGGCACCACAGGGCGCTCAGATCCGGTTTTCCTCTGCAGCGTCCACAGGGGCCGGAGGAGATGACAAGTGGAGTGTGTGTGTGTGCGCGCTTTGGACGGAGGGGGGTGGGAGGGGAGGGGGGGAGGGGAGGGGAGGGGAGGGGAGGGGTGGGTGGGAGGCGGTCGAGGCTCGCCGAAGGAGAACTACCTCCTTTAGGGAGCCTTCTCGCGCAGCCTTCAGCTCGCTCGCACTCCCCCATCGCGCCCCTGGCCCGAGGCCCCAGCCCCGGCCTCGGGGGGCCGCATCTGGCCGCGCCACGCACCCGCCCGTCTGCACCCACCGCGTGGCCCGCCCCCGCCGCCTCGCGGTCCCGGGGTCTCCCCGCGGCGGCCGGACGTGGCGAGCGGCGGGTCCTCAGCCTGGGGTGCGGGAACGCGGCATCCGCGACGGCCGCGGGCGGGGGGGGGGGGGCGGGCAGGCTCCCCCAACCGGGGGCCGGGAAGCCGCCCCAGCGGGCACATGCTTCCTGCCCGCCGGCTCCGGCCCGGAGGGAAGCCCCCGGCGGGCGGCGGCCGCGCTCCCCGCAGCCTTCCACGCGTCCCCTGCCCCGCCCGAGCTGCTGCTCACCTGTCCGAGGAGGTAGCGGCGACGCGCGAGGCTGCAGGCTGCGGCGATCCCGGCAGCGGCGGTGGCACCCGCGGCAGTGGCGGCGGCAGACAATGGAGGAGTGAAGGACGGACACATTGACACCGACCCACGGAGCCCGGCGCCGCCCCGCCCCCCGCGCCGCCCCGCCCCGCCTCCCGGGCCGCCCCCGGCTCGGGCCGCGCCACTCCCGGGGGAACGCTGCGGCCTCGTAGCCACAGCCAGGGCCCTCGGCGCCCCGAGCAGCCCGGGCCGGACCCAGAACTTCAGGAGAGGGAACTTAAACGCTGCGTGTGCCTAGACACCTGAACAGCGCGGCAGGACGCGGTGGGGAGGGCGGAAGAGGAATTCCATCCCCCCCCTGATTTTCTCCGTTGGGCTTTTCCTTGCCGGGCTGCTCCAATGGGGGCCTCCGGCTGCCGCCTCCTGGGGCTCCGCCCCCCGGCCTGGCCAATGGCAGGCGGGCGGGCGGGGCCGGCGGCGGGGCCGGGCCCACGGACCTCCCGGCTCGCCGGAGCTCGCCAGCTGCTCGCCAGCCCGCGGGACGGAGCCAAGAATTCGAACGCTTCCGCGGTTGGCGGCTCAGCGTCCTGGCCTCGAGTTGCCCGGCTGCGCTTGGCGTTCCGAACACACGCACACACGCACACACGCAGTTTCTTTTTTTAATACCTCCAGGGAAAGAGAATCGTCCTCAAGCTGGCGGGAGCAATGGTGCATATAACGAAAGGCGAGCTGACCCAGGAAGAAAAGGAGCTGCTAGAAGTCATCGGGAAAGGTATGGGCGCCGCTGGGCTGCAACGGGGCGCTCGCAGGCCTGGTCTTGGAGGCGTGGCGGAGCCCTGGAGGCGGCCCTGGCCGGGCGGCCCCTCCGCCGCGGGTCCGGCGAGGTTGGTGGCCTCGCACCGGGAAAGCAGCGTGTCTCCCGGCGTGGCCCGGGACCGGGTGCGGGGGTGGCGAGGAGGGGAGCCAGCAGCACTGCTGCGACAGGAGCTGGAGGCTGCAGCGGTTCGTCTTCCGAATCCGATTTTTGGAAAGAAACACATTTGCAGGCCCCGGCTCAGGTCGTAACGAGCGACCCCCGGGTGTGGGTCCCATGATGCGCCTTGTGCAAAACTCTCAAGGTGATTTTGACCCTCGCCTGTCTTGGCGACAGGGGGAGGCCTCGGGTTCTTGGAGGGGTGTCCGTCTAAAGGGCCGTTTCGACTTCCGGAGGCCGAAGAATCTGGATGCCTTGGCCGTCCCCGCCCCCGCCTGGGGGGTGGTGGTGGGGTGGGGTGGGGCGGGAAATCCTCTAGAGAAGGGTTCTTTATAAGGGCACAGAACTGGGTCTGTCCTTTGCTACCTGGAGGGATCTGCGTCCCGGCCTCCGCGGCCTCCTTCCAACCCGCGGGGAAGCCAGGAGGTTGGCCGGGCGCCCGCAGCCCTCGGCGCCCCCGCACAGCTGCGCTCCCCCCGCGTGCTCGTCCGCGCCCGCCCTTGCACTCTCCCGACCCCTGTCCCACCTCCGCAGCTTCGGGTGCGGGGCGCGGGGAGCGAGGAGCGGGCCGCGGGGACCGGCCGGGGGCCCCGTTTCCCCTTCTGTCCCCGAGTGGACGTCCCGGAGGAGTCCCCTGCCGAGTCCCGTTACCTGGCAGGTGACAGCAGCGTGACTACGCGGCTTCTCCTGCACAGTCACCGCGGACATAGTTTACGCTCCAGGGTGGAGGCAGGCACATCTGTCCATCTGTCCTGGAACGGCAGAGAGGCCCGTCCCTGCAGCATGCAGGCTCCCCACTTTCCAGCCCTCTTCCTGTCGGGCAGCCTGGCTCAAATCTGGGCCCTCAGAGAATAAGCCAGATTTATTCTTAATACTGGCAAGGGGAAGCCTAAACGGAAAAGAGAAAAAAAAAAATCGGATTTGAACCCCACTGGTGCTGATGAGCCAAGGCCACCTCGTCTGATCTCAACAGTTTTAAATCAGTCACAGCTGCATTTATCCTAAGTGATCTTTGCCCAGGACTGTAGGACATGGAGTTGGTGCTTTTATCATTTGTGCTGCACGATTCTGGCCCCCTTTTTTTTTCTTTTTTGGTACTGCATGCTTTGTGTCCTGCGGTTACTTTCTCCCTTCCCCGGGTTGGCTCTGGGATTCAGTTCTAACACGTGAGCGCCAACTGTGAGCCAGGTACTGTGCTGGGCCAAAGGAAACAGGATCCGCTCCGAATCCACCAGAGATGCACGTTCTGCTTTTAAACAGTACAGAGCTATCGGTTTGTCAAAGTATAAACAAGTGAGCAGCTTTATAAAGTGGGTTTCTGGAAGGCGAGGGAAGCCTTGGATGCTTTTGTGGGTTTTTTTTTTTTTTGGGGGGGGGTGTGTACACCAGTTTTTATTTTGAAGATGGTATAAAAGAGAATTAATGTAAAGTTTAGTCTGGTTAGTGCTGCTGTTTCTGGATCCACAGTGTACATCACGTTGCATTTGTGCACAGACAGTATGGTTCACCAATTTCATTGGCCCAAGCCATGAAGAAATGAGACTGGACTTAGTCGGTGATACATTCTTTTCAAGTGAAGGTCCATGGGACATCACTCTACTCTCAAAGAAAAATAATGGGAGATATGAGAAAATAACAATTATAATCAGCCTTTATTGAATATTGAATATGAGCCAGACATAATACTTAGCACTTTACATCATAATACTTAGCACTTTACATCTGTTGATATATTTGATCTTGATGCCCTAGGAATTATTTTTAAGCAACAGCATGATGAGACCACTTGGGGTGGTGGTTCACCATGCAGATCTGATTTGGAATCCTATCTCAATCACTTGCTGGTCATGTGGCCTTGGGCAACTTACTCTTACTGAGCTTCTGTTTCTCCATGGTACCTACCTCACACTCTTGTTGGGAGGATCAAATGAGTTAGTGCCTGTAAAGCATTTAAAATGCCGTTTGTGTTATCTGTTTTTATGGTAAGTACAGTGATCTCCACTTTATAGTCACAGAAACGGAGGAACTGAAAAGTTAGATAATTTGTCCAGTGTCACACTGAAAATAAGTGGCAAAGCAGAGATATCATTTGGCCTGTGGTCCTAGAAATACCCTGGACTTGAAAACAAACTAAACTAAAACTGAAACCAGAACCCATTCCATATTCACTTCTAGAGGCAATTTAATCTAACTTATTATTTAAAATAAAATATTTTAAAATAATTTAAAATTAACGAGTATTTAAATTAATTTAATTTTAACTGTTACTGATTTTATAGTTTTGTGTGCATTTAATTTGTGAATTTTTTTGCAGTTGAATGAAGATCATAAGCAAAACTTATATTAATATGCATAAGAAACTTTTTAAAGTGGGTGGATAGAAGTTTTTAATTCTTTTTTTTTTTCCCCTTGGTTACATTCTTAACTTTGGGAAGTGCTAGATTAGTCAGCACTAGTAGTTGGAACTAACAATAAATTTTCAGCCAAGTGTGACCTGTCATTTTGGCCAATCCAAAATAAACTCAGCAAATTATTGAGTATCTCTTTTCTGCCAGTTGCTGCCCTTCAGAAGTTAAGCTGACTGTGAGTGAGACTTACAATCCAGAGAATACAGCACATTGCTTCTAGACACTTTCAGAACACTTTCTTCTTCAAATCAAATGCTAGGTAGTTTATAGATTATCTATTTGTTGGAATGCCAAGAAGTTCCAGATAAAACTGAGAAGCTCTTTCATATATACCATTCATATCATAGTTAATGATGGCATCCATTTTACGTTTAAGAAGAGAAAATTAGGATCACTGAAGCACAGCTGATGAGTTTATGTTACGTGTACATTGACCCATTCTTCTAAATTCTGATATTGTTTTTGTTAAGCACTGAAGAAGCACTATTTCAAAATACATTAAACTTTCCTTAAAGGCATAAATCAGAAAATCTTCCATTACTTGTTTAGTACCTGAAATCTCTGAGATTGTTGACTAAATGAGAAAATAAATTTACTACTTTTTTTCATTATTTACATAAAAGGATTTATGAAGTAGATAGACTTGGACAATAAGGTTTTATTTCACCAACTATGTTTAGTTATAATTAAAATATGATAGATGGTGCATATTAGTGTATTTAGACCTATAGTTTTCTACCAATGTCATTAAATTAGGAAAATAAAATTAGAAATCATTACACATTTTCCTTATTTGCTCATTTGTTTTCCAAAATCTGGAAGCCCAAACAGTTGGAGAAAAAAAATTCCATCCTGGTCCCTGCATTTCAAAAGGCTAACTGGTATTCAGTGGTATATGTATACACGCCTTGTCTTTACTTACTTATTTTAAATTACTCCCTAACAAGACAGATTTAACTTAGACTGTTGGCCATTGGGATAAACATTTCATAGAATCATTGACCTGTTCTCTTCACGTGAGCCAAATGTTTATAATCGGAATCCCTGTCCTCCCCCTAACATGTGGCATGCTTTGACATGCCCACAGTCCCTGTAGTATTGTCCCTTTACTGAGTGAACACCTGACTAGGTGGAAAAATAACTTCAATTATTTCTCACTGAATAATGGATTTCAGCCAAAGTATCTTCCTGAAGTGAAATTGGGGCGCTGGAGTTTTTGTTCTGTTATAATTCCTTTCTAAAGGTGGAGGAGAAAGTCTCTGATGAGAAGGCCAGGTGTGGATAATGTTCCATATAGAACTTGCTTACATGCTTGAGGGCTTTACTCACTCTGTAGCCCTTCAGAGCTATAGCCAGTGGTATTACCTGCCCTCAGATGGAGTAGTGTCAGAAAAATGCACTATTTACAAGATAGCTGCTGTCATGATCCAAGGACTTGTAAATCATTCACTTGGCACATTTCCCCAGCAGAGCTATTTCTCTGTCAATCTGGGAGACATTTCTCTGTCTTTTCCCTCTTGGTATGAGGCAACCAGATGCCTAAGGAGCAGGTCAGGGAGAGAGAAGCATGCTAATATTTATTCTGCATTCCACATTTAACTCTGGGCAACTAGCAGAATTTAGCACATTCTGCAACTGTAATTTTCAGTTTATAGAGAGAAATAACTCCTAGTTGTGGGATGCTCCTTTTCTTTTATGTCCTTTTGGAGGAGAGGCTTATCTCATCCTTTCTTTCTGAGAACATTCAATTTCATTGTTCCCTTCCCTGTCAAACCAGAAATTTTTTGGCAGAATGAGTGGGCCGACTGTTATTAATGATAATAGCAACATTCTCTCTTTAACTACTTGCTTGTGTCAGTATGCCTTACAGAAGACTGGAAAAACCTGACAGGTGCAGCCCAATTACAGTGTATTTCCAAATTTACAAAGGACTAACCTTCAGGTTTATGTTAGAGGACGTTCAGTATGACAGTCTGAGTGCTGACCATAAGGCACTTTTATATGGAAGCAGGCTTTAAAGAAATGTTTACCTAAGCATTTCTAAACCAAGAATTCTATTATAAGAATGCTCCTATCAATTCACAGGGCCTCGTGATGACAGGGCATATAAATACTGACTACATTTTGAACTCCAGTTATTACATTGATTGGAATTTAAGCTTCAGATGGTGGGTTGGACTACATGCTCTTTAAGATTTCAGTATTAGGAGTCTTATTTATGCTTTGTGGTTATTGTATCACTGCCAAAGGGAAAATATGGCCAATTTAATATACTTTAAGGTCATTGGAAGTAAAAACAAGATGGAGCTATTTTGGCTTCTGTAAATCAATTCTTCTGGATAATTACATTGTGGAAAAAATACTACATGTTGATGCTTTATTTCCTAACAAGCTAACCAGACTAGTTTTAGTTTTACATATAAACCTTTCAAATTTGTTTCCATGATGTTAGTTTTTTTTTCTGTTGTAATGATAAATAACTAATTTTGTATTTCTTTCCTTTCTTCCTTTTTTTTTTTTTCCCCTTTCTTTCTTTTTTAAAGGTACTGTCCAAGAAGCTGGAACATTATTAGCCAGCAAGAATGTTCGTGTCAACTGTTTGGATGAGGTAAAATTTAAAAAGCTGAATAAAATGCTTACTTTTTATAAGAATTGATACTATATAAAATGCAATGTAAGAGTTGTTTTCTAGCATTTGTGCTCAAGTTATACTCCTCTCTAAACGAAATGTAAGCAGACAGTTTACAAAAGACAAAAAAGTATGTAAGAACATGTTTAATTTTATTAATCAAATAAGAACAAATTAAACTAAATCATCATTTCTGTAAAGTATGGGAAATATTGGACTTCTGTATACTAATGGATTAGGTGTAGATTGGCATCACATTTTGGAGAAAATTTCAGAATTGTGTCACTTTTAAATGTGCATACTTTTGATAAAGTGATTCTACTTCTAGGGAAAGCTAACCAAACCTAAACCCAACTTTCTAGAACAACCGCTCTTCAAAATAACTTTCTGTGATGATGGTGATGTCTTTTCTGAGCTGTCCAATATCAGCCATTAGCCATGTGTAACTAGTAGCTACTTTATGATACAGTGTGGCTCTAGTACTAGAAAGTTAACTGAATGTCAGTTGCTCATGCAGAAAGGGGAAGGAGTTTTATTGAGTACCCAAAAATTAATGTCAGACACAATAAAGTTTAAAGCAAAAAATTTTTAAAAATTTAAAAGAAGATAAAATGCCTTTCTCATAGATTAAATTAATAATCAGTAACCCACCAAGAATATAGTAGGTGTAAACCTTCACTTATAAGTTCATAAGCATTGGGATTCATAAAGAAAAAGAATTCAAACAAGTAATTTGTAAGGCCACAACAACACCTTTGAGAAACCACCAGATTAAGTAACAAAAAAGTAATATAAGGAACAGAAAATTTGGATAACTAATTGATAGTCAATGCACTGTATGTAAGATGGAAAAAAAAATAGTATATTTTCTTTTACATGGAACATTGATAAAAATTAGTCTATGTATTATATATTGTTTTATAAATGAAACTAGCTAATTTCAAAGTTCGACTAATACAGAATACATTGAAAATAAACAAAAATATGATCCAAATAATAAAACAACCTGAAAGTTTTATTTTAATTCTAGATAATTCTTGGGTAAAAGAAGGAATAGAAGTAGAAATTGTCTACTATTTAACACTGAAAATACAACATTCATCAAAATCTAGTATTTATCAAAAGCTGTGCTATGTGGCCAGAGTGATATTCAGAGGAAATTTTTCAGCGTTTATTATTGTACTTCCAATCTATGTGTTCTCAGCTTTTACCTTGGAATTTTAAAAAAGGATTAGGCTATACTCGAAGAATAAAGAAAGTGAACCAGTGAACTAAAATAGAAATAAACAGTTTAAAAAGCCATCAGGCACAAGCAACCAAAGAATAAAATAAAATAAAAATTTTTGTGCTTCAAGGTATATCATTAAAAAAGTGAAAAGATAGCCCATAGAATGGTTTCATAAATCATATTTGATAAAGGCCTTATAACTATAGGTTATAAATTATTACAAACTTCTGCAACTCAATAAAGAGACAAATAATCCTATTAAAGAATGGGCAAGGGATCTGAATAGATATTGCTCCAAAAAGATACTCAGATAACCAATGGGCACATGAAAAAATGCTTAATATTAGCTGCCAAGGAACTGCAGTGAGATACCAGTTCACACCCTTTGTGATGGCTATAATAAAAATGCAAATGAAAAAAATGCTCAGTATTAGCTGCTATCAAAACTGCAGTGAGATACCACCAATTCACACCCACTGAGGTAGCTATAATAAAAAAGATAAATAATAACAAGTATTGGTGAAGATGTGGAGAAATTGGAGCCCTCATTAATTGTTGGGGGGTGAATGGCGCAGCCACTCTGGAAATAGGTGGCAATTCCTCCACTGATTAAATACAGAGTTTCTATATGACCGAGCAATCCTAGGCATATACTTAGGAAAAATAAAGAATATGTCAACACAAAAACTTGCTTATAAATGTTTATAGTGGCATTATCCTTAAGAGCCAAAGCTGGAAACAACCCAAATGTCCCTTAACTGACCAGTGGATAAACAAAATGTCATATATTCATACAATGGAATATTTATTCATAAAAAGGAATGAAGTCCTGGTAAGTGCCATAACATGGACAAACCTTGAGAACATTTGCCGAGTGAAAGAAGCCAGTCGCTAAAGACTAAATATTATATGATTCCATTTATAGGAGATGTCCAAAATAGGCAAGTCTATAGGTACAGAAATTAGACTAGTGTTTTGCCTAGGACTGGGTTAGAGGGTAGGGGCTCGGGGTGGGGGGGTGGTACATAAGAATGACTGATAATGGTATGTGGTTTCTTGTGGGGTTAATAAAAATATTCCAAAATTGATTGTGATGATACTTGTATAACTTCTGCAAATATATTGAGAACCATTTAATTGTATGTATTAAATGGGTGAATTGTATGGTATGTGAGTTATATAGCTCAATAAACCTGTTTAAAAAGAAAAGAAAAAACAAAGTTATCAACCTAAAGACCAAAATATTAGACACAGTTTGGAAAGTCTAAGAAAGAAAATAGTGAAATAAACACCAAGAAACTAAGATCATGACTGTAGTTATAAAGGAAATTTTCGTAAGTTTTTTGTTTAAGCCAGGACATATGAAAACTCGTATAAAAGTGGCTTCATAGAAAAATAAAAATGAATATATTCACCTTATATAGAAGCAGAAAAACTGGAATAATTAAGGAAAATTTGTATAAATGTATTTAAATGCTAACCACTTTCTAAAGCTGCAAACCTGAGTTAGCTCTACAAAACCTTCAAGGACTTCTCATTTTACACAAACTGTACTGTTAGGCCATAAAAGGAAAATACCCAACTCATTTGATAAAAGTAGCACAACACTAATGCTAAAATAGGAAAAAGCTGAAGAAAACCCCCAATTCAGTTTATATTAGGCACTCAATAAATGTTTGCTGAATGAATGCTTTAGGTAACGATAGAGAATTGTAACATAATTGGCTAATATTGATAAATTCTTTGATATAAGAATTATAGGAGAGAAGCTTCAATTCTTTTTAGGGTCATTAATATCAAAGGAATTGTAACTGCTTGCTTTTCATATAGTTCAGTGAAGCAGACTTCTTCCAAAGTTGCCTTAGGGAAATGACAGGGAAGCAAGGATTTTTAGTCTTGGTGTTTCATTGAATCTAAGATGCCATAGGTTTTAAGACTCATCCAGATTTCAGAGCTATTAAAAAAAGAAGGGGGTGGAGATTGGTAATAATTTGTAAGATTCTAGTGTTTATAAAGTACAACTCAATTTCAGATATTAAAGATATTAAATATTAAGATATTAAAATATGAAAATAAAACCCTTATAACTGATGAATTATATATAACACTATGATAATATCTTATGAAACATTTTCTTTCTGCCTTCCTAATTTGAACAGGGATGGACATTAGGTATTTTATTTTTCTAACTGATACTAACTTAGTCTGTTTTTATAACTAGAATATGACATTTTCAATTTAATTTCTTTTAATCATGGGAATATTCTATGTCTGATAGATTGACAGCTTTTTAAATTCTGTAGTTCCTTCTCTTGGTATATTTATACTAGAATACATAAAAATACTAGAAAGACTAGATAATTTATAGGATGGTAGATTTGTATCTGTGTAGAACATCAAAACTTATTAATGTTACTTCCTTTTTTCTTTGCCCATTGAAATGCTTCCACAAATAACAAACAGTATTATAAGTAAGATAGTGCATAGTAATCATTGAATTCAAAATGTGTAATTTTTTTTTGTTCTTATAACCAATTAAACTAAGAGATAGGAAAGTATATGTGATATCCACTTACTTGAAAAGCTTATATACGTTTTATAATATATACAAATATCAAATCATTATGTTGTATACCTGAAACTAATACAATGTTGTATGTATTTATACCTCAGTAAAAAAGAAAAGAAAAGAAAAGCTTAGTGTAAACTATCACTTAACACATGTTTGGCTTCTATTACCCAGGATCAACCAACCCAGCACTGAAATTTGACATGAGAAAACATACACTGTGTTATAGACATGACAGAAATAACCAGTTCGGAGATTGTACAAATGATTTGATTGGGTTTACTCATTGCCTCTTTAAAAATCTCTCATGGATTGGCTCTAAAAATCAATCCCTGTTAAGATTGCTGGTAAATAAGAAAGAAAAAGAGAAAGAAAGAAAATTAAAAAAAAAGAGGAAACAGTATCAGGAAGCAGGGAGGCAGACAGGTAAATGGACAGAAGTGATCAATACAGAGGACAGTTAAAACACAAGCAGACGTAAATAAATGAGGACACTTTGCAATGTAACATCCAAAAATTTTGCACATTTTCATTCTTAAGCATCTTTTCACATTGTGTTGAAAGCTGCTTTAGATTTATATGTGTGTGTATATATATATATACATACATATACACACACACATATATGGCAGTACTGCAGTGTCAGGCTATTCACTCAGAACTAGATAACCTTTCCTTGTAGGATGAAATTGCTGTGTGATTAACTGCCCACCTGCCTGTACCGTGTCCTTCCTTCCCACTCCCCCCACCCACGCTGCATGCTAGCTTCTAACATTCAGATTATAGCATCCTTCAGGGGCTACCACCCTAGTCCTGTTCTGAATACATTTTTGCCTTATTCAAAAGGTAATAACCATAGAGTTCATTCCCACTTCCTCAAAACTGCCTCTGTAGTAAGATCCTGATTACCTATATCCACCCAAGCCACTCCTAACCTTGAGATACCTCATCTTTGTATATACTTATGTAAAGGGAGTCTTAACATTATAATCTTATTAATGTTTTATTACTCTTACGAAACATTGACTACTACTGAGATATCTCCTGGAGAGCCACTTGAAAGGTTCCAGCCTTCCTATAATTCTCACATTAGTAGTCCTTCAAGAATATTGATGGCTTATGTTCATAATAATAGTGTGGAATCATAAAGAATAATTCAGAGTATTTTAACATTTAACATTACTACAGCAAGAGATTCTATGTTTTGGAGTGTTTTGTTTTTGTTTTTTTTTTTTTAAATGAAAAACAGCTTTGAGATTGTAGCATTTATAAAGTTTATCCTGATTTACTTTGGAAATTCACTTATAGAGAACAGCTTGTTCATTTATCTACCAAATAGTGTCAGATACCCAGAACAAATAAGGTTGGATGTTACACTGTATATGCACAAAACATATGAAGACTAAACAAGGTAGTGTAAATACCACCATTTCTCATATTTATATAATCACATGTATGACCAAATCATATATATAATTAAAATATATATTTGGTTTGGGGATCATTGTTTTAATTTAATTTAATGTACATTAATTTAATATACATTTCCTGCGTCTTGTTTTTCTCATTGGCAGTAGTAATTTATGGAAATTTTCCCAGTTCAATAGAGACAGATGCATTCAGTCAATAGCTTCATGGTATTCCATGTTGTGGATATAACATGCTTCATTCAACTTTCTCTTTGATAGGCATTCTAATTGTTTTGAGGGTTTTTAAAAAAAATATTTATGTATTTGTATCTGTTGGTTCATCTGTTTTCCCAGGAACTAAATATATGTGATAGAGATGAGAGCCCTGATGATCTAGGTTTGGTGCCTGCCTGGCCATTTTACTGGTTGTGTGAGGTTGAGCAAGTCTCTAAATCTGTTTGCTAAGCCATGAAAAAAAATCAGTAACAAAACCATTGATTTTCCTCAGCAGTTTATGGAAGATCCAAGTGAGGAATCAATATAAAAGTACTTAACAGATTATAAAGATGAATTTATTAATTCATATTCTTTTTATGTTTTTAATTTAATTGCAGGAGCTGTTTATAGGGCAAGAGGTGAATAAGTAAAATTAATACTTTTTTTCCTTTCTGTTAAAGAATGGAATGACCCCTCTAATGCATGCTGCATATAAAGGAAAACTTGATATGTGCAAATTACTTTTACGACATGGAGCTGATGTAAATTGTCATCAACACGAACATGGATACACAGCCCTCATGTTTGCTGCACTTTCTGGTGAAGTTTTAACATTTATTCTGATACATTAATTTTAGTCACCCATTCTAATTTGTTATAAGTACATGAATACTTTTAAAGTAAATGTTTATTTAGTAATTTTAAGATCAGTTCTTATAGAAAAGGTAGGAATTGGTTTTTGAAAAGTTATAATGTGTGAAATACGTTATATAGTTAATTTGGTGTTATATTTCTTTATGTATTTAAATTACCTGATTGTATTGACAATTTATTTTGTGTAGAGTTAAGGAGTTGGATCATTATTCTTTCAGGTTAGTTATATTGATGCTCTGTATCTTTGTATTTTGAAGTAATTTGAAAACTTCTTTGTTGTTCTCTTAAGAAAATAGCTGCTATGATAGACCTCTTTGCTTCACTTAGATTTATGTACTAAATTATGCTGATCTAATCAGAAACTCTTGTTGCTTATGATTTTTAATAAAGACAACTGGGAAATATTTAAAATTAAGCGGAGTTAATCTGTAATTGTACATTTTTTAAAGAAAATTAAGATGTAATAGAATATTCTCACACTTTAAAAACAGTAATCTGTATTTTTATAAGCCTGGAACAGGAAAGCATTTCTGAGTATGATATATAAATATATAATTCAAAAAGGACAAAATTGAGTGCCTCGGTGGCTTAGTCTTTTAAGCATCTGCCTTCAGCTCAGGTCATGATCCCTGGGGTCCTGTGATCTAGTTCCACATTAAGCTCCTTCCTCAGCGAGGAGTCTGCTTCTCCCTCTGCCCTTCCTCCTGCTTGTGCTCTCTCTCATGCTCTCTTAAATAAGAAAATACAAATCTTTAAAAAAAAAAAAAAAAGAACAACATTGACCAATTTGATTATATATAATTTTAACATTTCCAAATATAGAATATACCATATATAGAGTAAAATGCAAGTGAAAAACTAAGGAAAATATTTATTTCATGTCTTATGGGGTTATATCAGTATATATTAGGAGTTCTCATAAATCATATAGAAACAAGTCCTGCAATAGAAAATTGGACCAAAAGTTGAGTAGAGAACAAAAGAAATACAACTGGCTAATAAGCATATAAGACATTTTCACTAATAAGCAAAGTAATGCAAATTAGAAGAATAAATGGTCGTTTGTCACTTACTGTATTGGCAGAGATTAAGAAAGAGTGATAATATCCAGCACTGGCATAGGGACTTCTCTGTACCATTTTGGGATATGCACATTAGCCCGGCCTTACTGGAAGTCAGCCTAGCAAAATGCATTTAAAATATGCATAACTTTGATTCTGCAGTGTTTTCTAGGAACTGTTCCTAAGGAAATCATAGTTTGAACTTGCAAAAATTAATGGAAAATGCTGGCCACTGAGTATAGTTTATAATAGCAAAATATCTGTAACGATTACATTAGTAATAGAATGCAAATAGAATAAAGGCAAATGGATGTTTAGAGAGAAAAGAATATAGAAAAATAGACCATCACCTGTTAAATCATTATTCCAGGGCCTGTGGGTATGAGGGTTGGGATGGGTTAGTAGATACTAAATTGAGACTTCATTTTATCTCTCTTTATTGTTGATACTTTTTGTTTTGACTTTACACTAAGCATTATATTTAAGAAACATATATTTTGTTTTGTTAACAAAAAGTGATAATTCTATCCTATTTTTGTATTGCCTGAAGGGGCTTTATAAAAAATTAGGTTAATTTTTATGAGGATTTTTATATTATTTTCCTCTATTGTAGTTATGATGTTTTAAAAAATGAAAATATTCACAAGATAGAAACCTAAAACTAAATGGAGAAAAACGTACAGGTAAATTAGAAGGGGGTATTTGAATTATTCATTTCTTAATATTAACTGATATGTTCCTTTTTAATGTCAGGTAACAAAGACATCACGTGGGTAATGTTGGAAGCTGGTGCTGAGACAGATGTTGTAAACTCTGTAGGAAGAACAGCAGCTCAGATGGCAGCCTTTGTGGGTGAGTTTTTATGGCAATTTTAAGTTGTATCCAAAGTGTCCTCCATGAAAAAATATCATTTTGCTTCTCAAAGTGCAAATGCTGTCATGTTTGTTTATTATTTATTTATTTATTTATTTATTTATTTATTTTTATTTTATGTATTTATTTTTTAAAGATTTTATTTATTTATTCACGAGAGACAGAGACAGATAGAGGCAGAGACACAGGCAGAGAGAGAAGCAGGCTCCATGCCCGGAGCCCTATGTGGGACTCGATCCCACGTCTCCAGGATCACACCCTGGGCTGAAGGTGGCGCTAAATCACTGAGCCACTAGGGCTGCCCTGTTTATTTTTTAAAAAGAAAAATGTTTACAGTTTACTAGGGTTTATCTAACTTAGTAAACTATCCAGTGACACTTTGGAGAAAATGAGAAAGCTATTTTGAATTTCTACTTCATGAAATACAAAGAATAATGGGACCATTTTAGTTGTAGTTAAATGCTTTGAATGAGTATCTTTTATTTCTTTTTTTTCTTTTATTTCTTTAAGGGAAGTAGTTTAATCTAAAGTCAAGAACATGAACTGTGAAGTCAATAATCCTCAATTGAAATTCCAGTTATGCCACTCAGTAGCAGGTTACTTAATTATTCTAAACTTCACTTTCCTCATCGTATCTTGGTTCATGGTTATTGAAAGGATTAAATGAGATGCTGACCTAAGGAGCTTTACAGGTACCACTGAATGGATGCCATCAATTACTGTTCCTAATAAAAATTTCAACAGTATAATTTTTTTCATAGGAAGGAATATTAACAATAATATATAGCCACTTCATTATCTTCCTCATCAAGCGCAAACACTTATTGTGTGTGCCTAGTATTTCTTGGTATATTAATCCTTTTACTGGGCATAATATGAGGGGTTTAAAGAAAGTGGCATGAGTATCTGATCATTGGTATTTTGGTCCCATTGAGTTGGCAGTTAAGGACGATGGCCCAAAAATGGAGAGGCAGATATATAAATATCTGATTTGTTGAGAATGCAGCAAGGGGGCTTTTGTGAGATTAATAAATTGTTAAACAAATACTTAATGTTCATAGTCTACACACTAAGCATCACTTTAGGTACTTTGGTTACAGTGGTGTTCATAGCAGTTAGAGGCTGACAGCAGTGACAAGCATTGTGGAAATATACTTCAAGGGAAAACTTAAGAGTTTCATAGAAATAGACCAAAGAGAGGGATCTTTTATCCTATTCCAAGGGGGTTTCGAGAGAAATTACATTTAAGTTGAGATCTAGTGGGAATTAGTCTGATATAGGAAGCATTAACCAAATATTTTGTTTAATTTTGTTATTAAATTATTTGAAAACTACTAGATGGTAGCTAATGGTAGCCACCAGTGTATAAGTCAGATAGTCACTGAGTCACTGTATGACACTTCTGTCAGAGCAAATATTATTTTATCTCAATTTTAGGAGGATTTGAGAAGAGTATAGTTTTTCAGTACAAACTTCAGAGGAATAATATTTATTTGCCACAATTAAGGGTGCTCTGGTTGTCCCTAACTCACCTCCAAGCTAATTTTGAGGGTGTCAGTACAAGACTAATCTGGGAATCTTGATTCTCATATTTTAGTTCATGTCTGCTGCTAAATCATTACAAGATCATAGGCAAATTCCATTCCCCTCCAGAGACCTCCATTTTCTGACCTGTGCCATGATGCTCAACAATTAGATCAAAGAAAGTTCTACCTAACTCTGTAAGTTTTCATTATTTCACAATGTAGCAAAACAGAGCTCAGACAGAGATTTGCTGACTATCCTCAGATCACAGGGCTAGAAATGGAGGAGCCTATTTTTCCAAAATAAATCCAATGCTCTTTTCCTTTTATTTTTCTTAACACTACTATATCCATAAAAATCTAAGGTAGAAATTGGCCACAATCCCATCTTAAAATGAAAGAACTTAAGAATGATGTTTTCATTCCATTTTAATCTGTATAGATTAATTTCATGGACAAAAATTAAACTCTTTGATTGACATATTTTCCATTATGGTTACTCTTTTTAAAAAGTCATTGTCCCCTTTTATTGCCCTCCAGCAGGGGTTTACATAAATATGTGCACACATGTGCAGGATTTTTATCTTTTAAAAATTTTTATCTTTTAAAGATTTATCATACAAATATATTCCCTGTAACTTGTATCCTTCACTGACCAGTATGCCTTGAAAGTCCCTCTCATCATCTCAGTAGCTCTCAATTCAGTGATGCCAGCAGCTACCTAATATTCTCTGATACAGGCACCCAGAGTTCATTTAGCTCTCCCCTATCGCTAAATTTTACAGGTTATTTTTTTAAGATTATATTTATTTATTTAAGAGAGAGAGAAAGCATGTGTGAGTGGGGAGTAGAGGAAGAGGGACAGGCAGACTTGCCACTGAGCACAGAGCTGGACGCAGGGCTCAATCCCATGACCCCAAGACCACAACCTAAGCCGAAATCGAGAGCCAGATGCCCAGCTGACAATTTTTTAAAAATCACTTCACAATGAATAAAGTAATAATGATCCTTGATCTTCCATTTTTACATGGTGATGCTTTAATATGTGCAACACATTGTCAGAAGTACGTGCAACACATTCTCAGAAGTACAATGACTCAAACACAGGGTCTGAATATATTTAATTTTAGTATAAGTCTTTATTGCTTTCCAAGAGGACATAGCAATTCACATTCCTATTAATGTCTTCATCAGAACTGGGTGTTTTCACTCTTTCATTTTTGCCAATCTAATAGCTGCAAAGATGCTACATTGTGAATTTACTTTCCCCTTATTATTCATGAAATTCAGCTGCTTTTGTTGTTGGTCATCTGTACTTTTCTGTGGGTGGCTGCTCATACTCATTACTTATTTTTTCTTTGGGTTGTCTTTTTTCATATTGCTTTGAGGAGCTTTATGTGTATTATGGATGCTTTCTTTTTTTTTTTAATATTTTATTTATTTATTCATGAGAGAGAGAGGCAGAGACATAAGCAGAGGGAGGAGAAGCAGGCTCCATGCAGGAGCCCAATGCGGAACTCGATCCCAAACTCTCAGATCATGTCCTAAGCTGAAGGCAGATGCTCAACTGCTGAGCCACCCAGGGATCCCTGGATGCTAACTTCTTATCAAATGTGTTTCAAATAGTTCATTTTTATGTTTCCATGTTTCTTGTCTTGACAAAAGAGTTTTTGAGTATGGGTTAGATAAGTATTCTCCTAAATGTTCTTCAGATTATGTGTGTGTGTTTTCAAGATTTAATTTTTTAAAGTTCATTTCCCCCTGGATATTTAGTTAATTGTGACAGTACCACTTAGGAAACCACTCAACATTTTCCCACTGAAAATGAAATACCACTTTTGTGGTACATTAAATTCTCTTATATGTGGTATCTATTTCTGGATCCCATATTCTCTTCCATGGGGCTGCTTGTCATTTTCTATATTAATACCACGTTGTCTGATCACATTGACTTTATTTTTTTTTAATTTTTATTTTTTAAAGATTTTATTTATTTATTCACGATAGCCATGAGAGAGAGAGAGAGAGAGAGAGAGGCAGAGACACAGGCAGAGGGAGAAGCAGGCTCCATGCAGGGAGCCTGATGATGTGGGACTCGATCCCGGGACTTCAGGATCGCACCCTGGGCCAAAGGCAGGCACTAAACCGCTGAGCCACCCAGGGATCCCCCTTGATCACATTGACTTTAAAATGTTCCCTTCAGTTATTTCTCTTTGAATACTTTCCTCCTTCATTTTTCCCCCTGTTTTTTTGTTTTTGTTTTTTGTTCTTATTGGACTTTCATTAAATGGTTATGTAATTATTGGCAGAGAATTGACAGCTCTATGATAAGATATCCTATTCAATTGCATGGTATACCTTTATATTTTTGTTTGTTTCTTTTACTTGTTTTTGGTCCTTTGGTCATATTCATCAGATTCCCTTCACATAAGTTCTTTCTTTCAAATAAAACTACATTCTTTTAAAGTTTATTTCTAAATAGCTTATAGTTATTGCTCATGTTGTAAGGAGAATTCCCCCCACTACTTCCACACTGTCATTTCTAGCTGGTTACAGGTAATAAGGACAAAACTATGGATTTCTGTTTTTTTCTTGTCATTTTTATTAGAATCTCAATTTCTTTCTTTTTTTTTTGTATATATATTTTTTAAATTGGAGTTTATTTCTATTCGAATTAGCTCCAGGCTTCCAAGTAAGAAGAAATAATAGTGAAAATTGGCATGTCTGGTTTTTTTTCTCCTATTTTTAATGGAAATATTTTTAGCTCTTTATTTTTTATGATATTGCTATTGGTTTTAGATTGCTGAATGCCACTCTTTGTCTTGTTTTAATTTTTATTTCTACTTTTTCTGATAGACTGTTCTTTTCTCTCTCTCTTTTTTAGATTTTGTTTAAATTCACGTTAACATGTAGTGTATTACTTGCTTTAGGGATAGAATTTAGCGATTCATCAATTGCAAATAACACCCATCAAGTGCCCTTCTTAATGCTCATCACCCAAATTACCCTGCCCGCTCATCCATTGCCCCCCCCAGTAACACTGGGTTTGTTCCCTATAGTTAAAAGAATCTTATGGTTTGCCTCTCTCTCTCTGTTTTTCTGTGTTTTTTTTTTGTTTTTTTTTTTAAATTTTATTTATTTATTCATGACAGATGCACAGAGAGAGAGGCAGAGACACAGGCAGAAGGAGAAGTAGGCCCCATGCAGGGAGCCCGATGTGGGACTCGATCCCGGGACTCCAGGATCGCGCTCTGGGCCAAAGGCAGGCGCTAAACCACGGAGCCACCCAGGGATCCCCTCTTTCTCTGTTTCTATCTTATTTTATTTTTCCTCCCCTTTCCCTAAGTTCGTCTTTTTTTTTTTTTAACTTCCACAAATGAGTTAGATCACATGTATTTGTCTTTCTCTGACTTATTTCTCTTAGCACCATATCGTCTAGTTCCATCCGTGTCATTGCAAATGGCAAGATTTCATTCTTCTTGATGGCTGAGTAGTATTCTATTGTGTGTATGAGAGTGTATATATATATATAATCTATTGTGTGTGTATATATATCACATCTTCTTTATCCATTGGCTCTTATGGACATTGCCGCTATAAAAATTGGGATGCATGTGCCCATAAAAATCACTATTTTTGTATCCTTTGGGTAAATACCAAGTAGTGCAATTGCTGAATGGTAGGATAGTTCTATTTTTAACTTTTTGATGACCCTCCATACTGTTTTCCAGAGTGGCTGCACCAATTTACATGTTATAGCCATTCTTGATTCCTTCTTGAGTTTTTGCATTTATCAATAATCTCTTTGCCTATCTCTTTATTTTCAATCTTTATTATTTCATTTTAGGGTAACTACTGCTATACTCCTATGTTTATAAACCCATGTAGGTGTGCTCTCTTCTCTAACCCAAAATGATAGTCTCTGTTTTTTAACAGATATTTAGCTTATGTGTATATAGGATTACTGATAAACTTGATTGCATTCCTCCTCTTTTACCTTATTTTTTTTACGCTTTGTTTTACTTCATGGTTGGTGGTTGTTTTTGCTTGTGCTTGCGTGTAGTGTGTGTGTGTGTTTCCTTAACATGGCTGGCCTGGTCATATCAGAGTACATCTTTTTCTTCTTTTATTAATTTGAAAGGTCAAGAATGCTTTCCCATTCCACTAATGCTTATCTCCTATTCACAGTACTCCTAATTAAACCCGTATTTGTCACTTCCTTGAAAGCGAAAACAAAACTATCCCCATGGCCCACCCCCAAGGCACTGAATTTGCCTATTTAGCGGTTCTAACATGAGAAAATCCTCCTAAGTCATGTATTTCTTCACAATTTCTGTTTTTGCCTTGTCAGACAACACGCCTTTCCTTTCTTCTTCCACCACTGCTACCAGCTGTGGACTTTGCTGAGAGAGTTTAGTATTTTTAGTATCAAAATGTTATTAGACTGTCATTCACGATGAGTTACTTCTCTTTCACTAATCCTCACTATCAACACAATAATTTCTGAGACGTGTTGCTGCCACCCATTATTCGGGTTAACCATCTCTGCTGCTAACGGCTGGTGTGCTCCATTCCCCCACCATCTTAAGCTCTCTGTTCCCATTTAGGTTTGGGTTACAGGACCTTCTCAGATTGAATATGGTTGGAATATGATTTGGAACCTATCATAACCGAAATTTACTTTTCTCTCTGGAATGGGAGCTGTACCAGGGCTAGTTTCATGGTCCTTGTATCTGTTCTGTTCCTCAGTCATATATAGAAGTTACTTCATGCTTTTGTAAATGTTTGGAAATGAGAATTTATTTTCTTTTGTAAACTTTCCATTTCTCATTCTGGAAGGGTGTTTCAATTTCAGTTTATCCTAAAAAATAAAAAAAAATTTACTAAGATGTGTTTAGTTGTGTGTATGCATGTTCTTAGTAATCCTGCCTAGGACCAACTCAGTGAGCCCATTCAGTCAGGAAGACTCAAGTCTAGAGAAGGTAATACTGGCCCCAGATGATACACTGACCACCCACCGTCCCGCCCAGCATTTATTTTCTGTAATAGTAGTACTATTTTATTTGTATTTATCCAGAATTAAGTAATTTAATTTAACACCAGTAAAACTAAATATTTGTTTCAATTATAAACACAAATGTAAATTAAGTTAAAATTTATGAACTTTAAATATATATCACTCTAATAACATTGTTAGCAGATTAGTTAAAATAAAATATTAAGATAATCTAAGCGTTATCTAAAATGTAAAAAAGATTAACCCTGAAGTTAAGTAAAAATAAAGTAATATTATGTTGTCCTTCTTACTAAAGAGACCTCTAGTCCAATGATAGTGTCATTGTTATGTAGCCAGTATTTTTACGTATAAATATTGCCAACTGTTCATGGGGATTTTCCTGACTATATTAGTGGAGAGATTGACAAGAAAATATAGCAACAAGCTTAGTCCATATTTCCCCCATTTCCTTTACCTTCAGCTCTTTCTCTATTGATTTTGATTTTTTGTAGGAGCTATTTTATTTCTTTAATTGAATTTAATTTTATTTAAATTCAAGTAACATATAGTATATTATTAGTTTCAGAGTTAGAGTTCAGTGATTCATCAGTTATATGTAACACCCAATGCTCGTTACATACATGCCCTCGTTAATGCCCATCATCCAGTTACCCCATCCCTTCACTCCCTTTTTAGTAGATTTTAGAACGCTTTTTAAAATTATTATTATTAAATAGCATCACACATCTGCTAATGGAAGCTGGATGTAGGTTGTGTTTTAAGAAAACAATGTAGTTTGTCTTCATCTCTTGTTCCTTCCTGTACATTATAAATTCCCATACACAAGGACCTGTGTTAATTTTGATGCTGTCATGTTCATTTCCTGCTTATAGTAGGGGATTTGCTTGATTCTCAGTGTCTTTCCCTTTATGAACATTATGGAGATGGAGATGATTGTTTGCCTAACAGAGCATCTCATATTTTTAACATATGCTATTACTGTTTGACTTCTCAAGATACATATGTTGGAGCTTTTTGATTAAAAAAATAATAAAAAAAGGAAAGGCAAAAAGGAAGAACAAACCAACCAACCCGGTGTTTCGGTACTTAAGAACAGCATTGAATGCCAAAAACGAGATTGTGATCACCACTAAAATTTCCCTTCACATGAGGGACATATTTTTCTATCCTTTGTTTAATTATTAATTCCCTATCCATTTCTCCTTTTCTCTCAGGGATTTCTATTATTTTTCACCTTTACATTTCCTGGATCCTCCCTACAGCTCTCATCTCTTCCATAATGATTTATTTCCATTTCCTCATTTTTCTCTGTTTTAAGATATTACATCTACTCCATCTTCAACATTACTATTCTAGTCTTCAGTAGTAACCTGGATTACCTCTTTCAGTTTGTTAATTTTATTTTAATTTTTTTTGTCTATTTTAAATTTTCAAATCTTTCTGTAGTCCACGAAATTTTACATTTTGTAATTGGTCTACTTAATTTCAGTGTTCTAGTTTGGTGATACAGCTGTGGTTCGGTTGTGGTTGTGGTCCATGTTGTAAGTATACTTCCCACCACAGAAGCCATCTGTTGGAGGCAATGCATAGTCTTCTGTGATGCTGGATCCCCTTAGGTACTTTGCTCTATATCTTCTAGGCAGCCAGGTAGAGCTGACATAATTATGGAGTAGTGAAGGGAAGGGCCACTGTCTCTACGCCTGTGGGCCCAGGGTCAGCAAATCAGTAGATATTTTGCCCTCACTGAGACATAAGTGGGAAACTGCTGTACTCTATGAAATCCCAGGCAAGCAGGGCTCTACCAGCCTCAAGTACCCAAGTCCACCCTGTCTGCAGTGAAATCCCCCTGCAGATCACCTTTGTCAGCTGGATCAAGCAGACACTCCTAAGACTATGCACAAGTGGTTAGGGACCACACAGGCCACCCAGGGCAGACTACTCTCTGGGAGCCCCAGTGCCTGAACCCACTTCCCAGGACTCTCTGCTGCTGGGAGGCAGGTTCCTCTGCCTTCTGCAGGCAGAAAAGAGGAAGAAGTCTCTCCTCCAGAGATCCCAAAAGAGCCTGCACCTGTGAAAGTGCCTTGCAGGTTCGGCCTGCTTGCCTAGAGTGGCCACTTCCTTGCCCCAGAGAGTTAGTGGTGAGGGAGCTGGAGATGGGGAAGTGACAGGAATATACATTCAGGCTACCAGCTTTTCCATGGACAGTTTTGCTTTCATAGAACCAGTTTTACCTCTAGAGATGGCTTAGACAAGTGGCATAGGGATGTTTAAGAAGCCATACTGTGAATTCCAAGCTTATGCCAGCAAAACTTTTTCTCTAATCCATTTTACAAAGAGACCAAGCTTTTCTCAAATTTGGGGAGATTAGTATATTGTTATTATTATTGTTATTTTTTTATAGAATATATATTTTGTGTAAAGAAAGCTAGATGTGATTAGGAAAGAATGACCATCATTTCTGTAAGGGTGTAAGAAGATACATTTAAATTTAATTGAAAACAAGCAACTTATATCAAATATTTAGGGTCAATTATAAATTGAAATCCATTTTTTTGTATCCACATAATCTTCATATGTACTATAGATTCTGTGTCTTTAAAAGGGAATTATGTTTTGGACTTCACAAAGCATGCTCATAAATGTTCCTCAAAACATTTTGCCCCTCCTTCTCCTCTTCTACTCTCTTTTCCTGAAAATTAAAGATGTTGATGCATGTTTACTTCATGAGAATACAGCAACATAAATAATAAAAAAATGGAAAATGTCACATTTTGAATAATAAAATAACAAATTTCCTATTTTTCTATTAAAAGGTCAACATGATTGTGTGACTATAATCAACAATTTCTTTCCTCGAGAGAGATTGGATTATTACACTAAACCCCAGGGACTGGATAAAGAGCCAAAACTGCCTCCAAAGTTGGCAGGCCCACTGCACAAAATTATTACTACAACAAACCTTCATCCTGTCAAGGTAGTGTTTGCTCTTTATTTAAATATTGCTTCAGAGTTTAAACTGCTCTTAATTATATAAGATCATCGTCGTCTTGGTTGGATCTTGCCGATGTGGATCTTGAAATGGGGCCTGTTGTTCAGTTGTTACGGTGAAGGGGTGCTCTCAGTTGAAACCTGAAAGAGAGTGAGGGACACAGACTGGACCAGGAGGAAAAGCTAGGCAAAGAGGTGGATTCAGCTGAAGCCTACCTTCCACCTCATCTCACTGGGAGCTCTGAACTGTTAGTGCTCCAGAGAGGCAAGGGAGCAGGCTTTTGTATCACTCAGTTGCCATTAACTGAGGCCTGTCCCCTGAAGGAGAGGACATGCTCCCAGGTACTGCCAACCAAGAAGGCAACTACCGATGGATAAAGGCAGGTTTCTGGAGCAGGAGGCAGCTCTGAGCCCATAGCAGCCAATACTCGCAGAAGCTGGAACCTGGTACACAGACTGGTGTGGGGATTTTGGAAGGGTAGGATATAATAATTATCCTACCAGCAAATGTTCTGAAATCATGAGCACGTATTTTAATACAAGTAGCTATTTGATGCCTTTAAGTAATATAGCTCTTCCAGTATTAGTCAAATCACACAGATGATCCAACTTTTTAGACCAACCTGGAAGTTCATTTGGCTTAACAGAGACACTTCAAGAGCCATTCTGAACTATTTTCAGTGCTCTTTCCTTCATAGTTTACATACAGCCTTTTTTTGTTTACAAAATTTTTTTTAACTTTATTTTTTATAAATCAATCCAAATGAGTATAGTTTTCTCAAGGAATCGTTACAGAAAACTCTGTGTGTGCTACCCATAGAATTCTTTTTCAAAAAAAAAAAAGAATTCTTTTTCAAATTTCAATTATTCATATCTTTCTTCATAATATATGTAGATTTGAAAGTAATTCAGAACTTTCTGGTGAGCAAGATGGTAAATTGGATCAAAGATTGAGGTTTTCCCTTAATACAAAATGTTACTCTAAATGCAATGCAATAGATTTCCCTTAAAGTCTATTATAGTGAATCTGTGGAACATCCGGAACACCATTAAAATAAGTGGATAGTTCTCATAAAGTGACTCTTTTGAAGACTGACACTCATTTTGAAGGTATAAGTTCCAAATTATATGTCCGGTTATTACTTTATACATACAGACTTTGCATACAGACTTTGAAGCTCAAGAAACAAACCAACAAAACATACCTGTCATATGGCATTCCACCCAAATGAATTTTCTTGGCCAGCAAGAAGGACGACAAACTAGCAGATCCTCTTCCATAAGATAGACTAGTGGAGTCTATTCTGTTTTTTATTTCAAAACTCAAATGTTTTACTACACATCCTGAAAGAACCCCAGGAGGTAACACTTGCTGTGAACCTAAGTGGGGAAAAAAAGAAATTCAGCCATGAACTGAATGTTTATATTTATGATGGAGATTACATGGAACTTAAAATTTAACCTTTAAAAAATATTTAGCTTCAGTATCAATAGTTTGTTTTTTTTTCCCCCAGCATATAAAGGTGAAAAGAGAACCTCTATATAGGAACTAACTCCTTGTCCATGGCATTCTTTTTTTAGAGGTGGGACAGGCTAGGGTGGGAAGACAAGAATTTTCCTAGGGATATAGTATTTCTCGATGTAGAAAATATGTGTGGTTTTACAAGGCCCTTGTGGTCCTTCCAGCCTGAGCATTATAGGATCTTCTAGTTTAGACTAAAGAAATTCTCTGTTTTTCTGATTCACTGTCTTTTATATCTATGTTTCTACCCCCTTGAGCTTGCAATAATCTCAATAATTGTGATAATTGAGCCTTTGGGGTATTTTTTTTTATTTTACATGGAACCTAGACTCTCAGGTTAAATGGCCTAAGAATTATTGTATCTCTAATTATTTTTAAAAGCACATGTTTGAGTAAATTAAAATAAGGGTATATTTATGAAGGCAATAAATGGTAAAGATATAGAAACTGAAATAGCCTACATTTTGTTTTTTTTTAGCACACTTGGTCTTATAAGAGACATTATTCTATGATTATAGTTCCTTTTTTCACATCAGACCTTGCTTTTTGTAGGTATAAATGATCTATTCACTTGAAAACCTTTTTTCTCCCACACTTTGGATAAAAGTTGTACAGTGCTTTTGTGGTGCCCTATTTTCAATGCTTTACCCCTTTCCAAGCCAGCCACGGTCTTCCTGGGGTGTATTATAAAAAAGTAACTAACAGCCATTCTATAAAGTCACAGACCTTTTAAAAAGCAGCACAGAAATCTTCCTCGATACACAATTCACCTTTTCACTACAGTGCACTTAACACAGCTGCATTTGCGTCAAGGGTAAATGGCTCTTGTAGCGTTAAGGATGTTTGTTTTCAACAGGGACTCTGGGAATTGTGCTGATGCCTGGAATACAGAGGTTATAAAGGAAAAAAAAAAAAGAATCACAGAAAAAATGACAACAGAATTGAGCAGGGTCCCTAAGTAGTCAGGAGACAGATGTACCCAAGTGATCCTGTCTTTGCTTATTAACTTTTTAAGCCCAGAATCGTTGGTTTGGTAATTTTTTCTTAAAGGTATTTAAAAAAATAAAAATAATTCAAAATGCCACTGTATGAGCATATTCTAATGTTCTTTGGGAGATGAGTGGTATCAGGCTTTTATGCTTAATGGAATATGTTTATTTCTCTTCAGTAATTAATAATGAGATTTTCTTTATAATGGATGGCTTTATAATGCTACAGAGATTAAAGGAAGGAAACTAGTTCAAATGTTATTCTTTTGTGTGTATCTATGAAATGTTTCAGTAAGCTCATAGTAGAGCGGTAGTTATATATCATTTTTCTTCAGGTATAGGGGTGGATATTATGAAATAAGGCCTACTGTCATAGCAAAGAAAAAATCATTAGTCTGGGTTCTGAGATTTTTTTTTTACGTTTTTACTTTTAAGTTTAACATCCTATGGTTTGATAATAAATGCTTTACACAAAAATATTGAATAGTTTCAAATGGTTGCAGTTGACAGTAGAAATATAAACATGTAATTAATGAGCCTTTCCTGCCAAAAGTTAATTTTTGATAAGTCATCGGCAAATTTATCAACAAGGCTTTTCATTATACTTATTTCTTGACCCATCATTTATTTTTGAGTGCTATACTTTAAGTAAAATATTAGATTATATATCAATCTAGTAGTATCAAAAATAAGTACAAATAATATTTTAATTTCACAAGAATACTTAATCTATGTTAAATTTCCAGGTAGGAGACTAGGCATGGGATTTACATAAGTTAACAAATGGTTTTTCTTCATGTCTGAAGAAAAGGATCTAATTCATGAAATCTGTTATCTGTAATTCCCTGACATTTACATTACCCAGGATAGGTAGTTAGCTGTAACACATAGGTTAGCAAACACTGACTTCTCTGTGAATACAATTGTGCCCATGTTATGCATGTGTTTACATTACTGTTATGTCATACCCTGTGCAGACCTTCAGGTAGGTAATTATCCGATTACAAAGCCAGTAAAAAATACTCCTTACACTGATTTTGTACTTAATCTGTGCATATATAAGATGTGTGGGACTCATAATGCATCATATTTGATAACTCTCTAATATTCCTCTTTTTAAGGCTATTTTTGCTTTCCTCTTTGACCTATTCTCATCACCATAGAAGATTAGAAGCATATCATAAAAATTTCCACAGAGAAATATAGTTAATTGGAAAGTAATACACTTTTTATTTTTAGGCTTAGTTCCTTTAAAATTTCATTTCCTTAGAATTAATAAGAATTAATGAGAATTATAGTACTCCTAGCTGTGAAATTCTAGTAATGTTGGCTATAAGTAGTGATTGCTTGAATTGATTCTGTATATAAAGCATATGTAAATATGCCGTGTTTAGCTTTAGTAAAAGTGCTTTTAACAGAGAATCTAAAGCCATAACTCTCAGTGGAATACTAACACCTGGTTTAGCCTGAGGACAGATCATGGGACAGCTTATATATACAGATTTCAAGAAATCTCATGATGCCAGGGTCCTTCTATATTAGTTTTTTCACTTTGATCATTGGCAATTTGCATTCTAATTTGAATTAACCTAGTAAATGTATAACCCTAAGAAAGATTTTATTTGGTTATCTGTTGAAATCAACCAAAACTAAAAATCTAATTTGTACAATGAAAAGCCTCTCATGGAATTTCTAAGGTCATTGGAATTTCTTCTAGATCGTGATGCTTATAAATGAGAATCCTCTGCTGGCAGAAGAAACCGCTCTGAATAAATGCTACAAAGTGATGGATTTAATTTGTGAGAAATGTATGAAGCAAAGAGACATGAATGAAGTATTGGCTATGAAAATGCATTACATCAGCTGTATCTTTCAGAAATGCATTAACTTCTTAAAAGATGGAGAGAATAAACTGGACACTCTGATCAAAAGGTACTGTTTCTACCATGTCATGTGTAAAATATACCCAAATGGATAATGTTTTGTTATATGAAAACTCATTATAGATTAAAATATTAAGCATTTTAGCAGCAGTTGTTATTGTTGGGTTCATAGTCTGTAGGAAATAAGAGGCAATGCTATATTTAGATTGAGTGATTTTTCAGTACTTTACTTTTTCAATGATGTTTTTGTTATCCCCAGTTTACAGGTGAGGAATCTGAAGTTTGGAGAAGTTAAGTAGATGTGTAAAAGGTAGAAAGTAACCCAAGTCCAACTTTGAGGATGGGTATGCCATGCCATAGGTTGTGGCTCTGGATTCATAATGGTGCTCAGCTTATCTCCATTACTGAACCTGGGAGAGCTGCATGTTATCTTTGTTCTCTGACCACCAAGGGTCAAATTCCTCCATAGTTTTACTGAGAAAAGTGAACTATGTCAGAAGGGTGTGACTTAATGAGAGTTTTCACACTTTGTACAAATAACTGGCATGGTAATAAGTAACTAGCTAATCCGGTAATGGTGGTTAGTGTGTTTTATGGCAGGGGTCACTTTTATAAATACATATCAGGGCCTGTAAACCTGATATGGGCTAGCCTAACATTCAGGTAGAACAGCAGTTTGAATTAGTCTATCCTCATGATTTGAAGAGACAATGAAAATCTTAAGTAGCAAAGAAACTAAAAGTTCATGGGTTCAGTTGGGAGGAAATGCTTCCAAGATTCAACTTCAGTTACTTTCTAAAAAATATCTTTCAGCTTGTTAAAAGGCCGAGCTTCTGATGGCTTTCCCGTATATCAAGAAAAGATCATCAGAGAAAGTATCAGAAAATTTCCTTACTGTGAAGCCACACTCCTCCAGCAGCTGGTGCGAAGCATTGCTCCTGTTGAAATTGTAAGGCTCCTCATAACTAAGTTAACTCTACCAGTTAAGACCTAATTACCCTATTTTGTACAATCACAGGCAAGTTCTCTTTAGCATTAGTTTATTAATAATTTATTTACTTAACAGAAAAATAATTATTTGTTATTTTGGACAGTTTTCAGGAATAGACATGGCAATGGATATACCTGTTAACCCTGTTTCTGTTCATCTGTTTCCCACTCTTGATCCCCTTCTTTCATTTTTATATATATAGCTCATGGTTTAATAAATAATATTTTCCTATGTTGGAATGTAGATGGTTACATGGAAAATTACATTTTAAAGACCTCTGTGAAATCTGTAAAGGTGGGTACACTTGCTATGTAATACAGATACACACATGTACACTTGTAACTCATGGAAAACCAGTACAAAGTCCCACACTGGATGAAAGTAGGAAATGATTATTGATGGTGTCTGCTTGGTTGGAGATATGAAGGGATGAGTCATGGGGAGGCTCATTGTATGTCCTCATACACAGTCTCAAGGTATGTCTCAGCTTCTTATATTCTACCTTAAGGCCTCTGATACAAATTTTCCATACTTATCAAAATTACATTCATACTTCCCAGCTATAGGAAGTAAATGTCAACTTATTATCTGTTCTTTGAATTATTTATTGCCCTTTTTCTATATATTTAAGTAGTATTTCCTAAGATACTCCCTGTTTGAACACATTTCTGTTCACTGTAGCTATACCAGTCATGCTTTAATATATTTCAATCAAAACCTTTATCAGCCTTTTTCTATTGGGTAAGAAATTGATCCTGACACTAGTCCCATCCATGGCTTCCTCCTGCTCTCAGGCAGTGTGGGTTCTTCTCTGCCTCCTCTAGGCTGTCCCATCCTTCTCAGAGAGAAAAATAAGGACAAGTGGATTCTAGATGTTTCTTCCTACATTAAGAATCTATTCAGAACCATGAAATAAGGGGATCCCTGGGTGGCGCAGCGGTTTGGCGCTTGCCTTTGGCCCAGGGCGTGATCCTGGAGACCCGGGATCGAATCCCACGTCGGGCTCCCGGTGCATGGAACCTGCTTCTCCCTCTGCCTATGTCTCTGCCTCTCTCTCTCTATCTCTCTGTGACTATCATAAATTAAAAAAAAAAAAATTTAAAGAACCATGAAATAAGAAAGACCTCAAGAGACTGGATGGTTTCATGAAGTTCACGCACTGATTTGTCCCTGAGAGTTCTCCATGATTTCACATAGAGATTTTTTTTTTACCCTTACTTTTTAATATAGTTGGCTATTTGGTATTTGGGCATTTAGAAGATTAAATTTAGCAGCTTATGAGGGTGGTTTGTCAATTATGAATGTGTTTTGGTACACCTATCAAACTCTAGCTAACCACGAATTAAATCAGTAGGGTTTATTATTTCCCATATACTCAGAAGTGTAAAAGTAGGTAGGCAAGATCTGTCACAGTGGCTCAAGAATAGATTCCCATTTTTCCACCCAATATTCTTTAGCTGTAAAGATGATTATACACATGCTTATGACCTCATGGTTGCAATGTATCAGATGTTCTTCCTCCAAGCTCACATTTTTATCTCAGGCAGGCAAGAAAAAGGAAAGGGGTCTATCGTGGCAAACACGAGCTCTCTCAGAAACCTGTGCAATGTGACTATTCTTAGCTTCACAGGTTGTCTGGGGGGCAATGAGCAGTTTCGGCTGGCCTAAACCATGTTATGCTGAATGAAATTATGCTTCTCTTAGTGCAGTGGTTATGGGAACAGATGCAGAGAAGCAGCTAGCACTGCCTCCAGGGGGTGTTTCCAACACTAACAAGAGGTAGCTGACATTCCACCTTCCAAGGGGAAAACAGCAAAACTAAAAATAGCCCAGATGTACTTTAAAAAAAGTCAAAGCAGACCATTGTGGGGTTGAACAATTCATTGTAGCTGTGTATCATGGAATGATTATCATTCAAGTTTATGCAGTATAATTGTTAATGTTTGTCTTAGTGATATGAGTCATTGAGAAAAGGTTTATGAATAGAGATGAGATGGTATATCATGCATTTTAGAAAACTTTCTCTCCTTAAAATTTTTGTTCTTTAAGAGTTACATATTCTCTCTTGAAAACTTTATTTATCTGGAACACTTGTGGTTGTGAATGTCCCAGTTAGCCACTCTTTACTTTCTAATGCGTTTTGTTCAACTCATGAGTTCACAAGCCTCTGAAGCAGTATTATTTCCTGTGGCCTGGTAATTCTCAGGGTTGGCTGCTGTGCCATGAGGATCCCCTGTGGCACTTTCCTGCACCGTGGATGCCTGGGCCCTCCAGAGCTTTTTGGACCTGTCTGCCTCCGGTGGGTCTCTGGCCTCTCCCTGTCACAGAGCTCAGCAGGACGTGTGGGGCATGGCTGCATTTAAGAAGTGTTGCATCAGCATTGTAACAGAGAATTCTATTAAAGATGTTTTGCTTTATCAACTGACAGCATATATTTTAACTTCTGAAAGACTAGCTAATGTCTCTGATTTTATAGGGTATGTTGAGTAAAGCATCCTGTTCATTTTTAAGTTGAATATCTTTCCATGGGAAGAGCTCTGGTAACCTAAACAAATTCTTACTTAACAAGGTAGAGGATGAGACTTTATGTAAGAAAGAATTCGGGATCCTTGGGTGGCTCAGCGATTGGGCGTCTGCCTTTGGCCCAGGGCCTGACCCTGGGGACCTGGGATCGAATCCCACATCGGGCTCCCTGCATGGAGCCTGCTTCTCCCTCTGCCTATGTCTCTGCCTCTCTCTCTCTCTCTCTCTCTCTGTGTGTGTGTCTCTCATGAATAAATAAATAAAATCTTTAGAAAAAAAAAAAAAAGAAGAAAGAGTTCTTGCCACCTAACAGTGACAAGATGCCATGTCGTTATTCAGCCATACCATCAATTCTTTTCTGAAGCAGTAGTTCACACAAACAGCCATGCTTTTAAAGGTAATGTAGATAAAGTCTGTGTCATTGCTAGCCATATAGATATTGTCTCTGTGTGCCTGCTTCTAGACAACATTGTTTATGAAGTGTCATCTCTGTAGTCTTTCCATGGTGATTTTCAAGTGTGTTTTTCTCTTCTTCATACCTATTCTAGGGTTCTGATCCTACTGCATTCTCTGTACTTACCCAAGCCATCACTGGTCAGGTGGGTTTTGTGGATGTTGAATTTTGCACTACCTGTGGCGAAAAGGGAGCAAGTAAAAGGTGTTCCGTATGCAAGATGGTAAGAGTGAAGTTCTTTGAAGTTCATTGATCTGGCTTAGATTTCATATCCAACTTGAAGTTTTAATATTCTCTAAATAGAATGGTTGAAAAAAACATATAATGGTTGACATTAGTTTTCTAATACATTTTAATATAGTGTAAATGCTAATTCAGTGCATCTAATACTTAAAAGTAATTTTGGAAGAAAGTAATTTTGGAAGAGAAGTATGGGATAAGTGTAGGTCTTTGCCCTATCTTCTGTCAGACTTGTAGGCTGCCCCAGCTTCTGCACAGACCACTTCCAGGAGAGAAAGAATATGAGTAAATGAAGGAATGAAGGAGGGAAAGATTCTCTGTAAGGGATTGAGACGGGTGCTGATATAAGGACCTAGAATAGGACAGTTCATAAATATGCAATCTTAAATCTTCTGATGGTGACTTGAACTGTATTCTCTTCATCATCTCTCCCTTGTAAAACTACAACTCCCTTCCTACGGCCACCAATCTTTAAGCTCTCTGAACTATACTCCCCACTTCTGGCAGCATTATCTTTGGAATGCATGTATCTTCTCACACATACTATCATCACAAGCATTCATCTGTACATTCAGTGTACCCTATAAATTATGTTAATTAATTAATTGAATGATATTAATTTCCTATTGTTTGTAAGGTTAGCATTCTTAAGCATCTTCATCATACCCATTACATTTTGATTTAACTAATTAATTAGTCCTCCAGCTTCATCTCCTTTAATTACTTCTTTGAACCTCAATTTCCTTGTATGTGAAATGGGGTTGTGAGAATTCATTGAGACCATCTACATTGGTTAACTGTCGCTGCATATAAAACACTTAAAACAATCATTTGCTAATTTCCCATGTTGGCAGTTGGCTGGGGTTAGCTGGGGCACTTTTTCTCCACATATCGCTTATCCTCTTTGGACCAGCAGACCAGGCTGAGCCGGCTCTAATTATGATGGCAGAGGTAAAAGTGGACAAGTAGAAACACATGAGATCCCTTGGAAGTCTAGTCTTGAAATTGTCATGCTCTGACATTCCTTTGGCCAAAACATACCACATGGCCAAGTTTAAAGTGAATTCTCCTTCCCTTCAGTGAAAAGAACTTTGAAGTCACATGGGAAAGTGTATACATGAAGGGAAAAATAAGAGTCAGGACCAATGAAACAATCTACAGTATATGTTCTTTTTATATAAAGGGCTTAGCATGGTGTTTGGCATATAATCTTGCAAAATTCTAAACTCCATTTACACAAACTTTTTGCTGTCCTTCAACATATAATTCACTTTCCTAATTGCATTTTTGTGTAAGATAATCTCTCTGCTTGGAATGCTTCTTTCCCATTTCTCCGTTGACTGACTCCCTTCATTTAGAGTGAGTCACTGCTTCCTCTGTGCTCCTATTACTGTTATGACCTATACTAGGATGTAAATCATGTTGTTGAGTATCTGCCTCTCTCAATGCTGCTCCATCCAGCTTTTTCTCAACCCTAGTTTCCTCTGAGACAACTATCTTCCTTGTCATTGTATAATTCTGACACATAGTAGGTTCTTCATAAATCATTTGTTAGTCTTTGGTAGACCACTTATTATCTATCCATTGTTATAAAGTGTAACCTAAAAATTAAAAATATAAATTAGTGTGCACCATGGTTTTAACAGAAAGCTTAGGGCTACCTGGAGGGTGTAGTTGGTTGGATGTCCAGCTCTTGGTTTTGGCTCAGGTCATGATCTCAGGGTCGTAGGATCAAGCCCTGTGTTGGGCTCCACACTCAGCATGGACTTCTTGGGACTCTCTTCCTCTGCCCAACCTCCTTCCCCCTGCTCTGGCATGCTCACTCTCTATCAAAATAAATACATCTTTAAAAAAATAAAAATAAAGGAAAGCACGGGAAACAACATTTTTTTACAGTATAGTTCTTGGTTTAATGACGTAGTTGGAATATCATGCAATCACAGCTCTTGAAGTGAAATAAACTTACAACTGTTTTCAGGTAATATATTGTGATCAAACCTGCCAGAAAACACACTGGTTTGCACATAAGAAAATCTGTAAGAATCTAAAGGACATTTATGAAAAACAACAATTGGAAGCTGCCAAAGAAAAGAGTGAAGAGGAAAACAGTAAGTATATAAAAAGCAATGTATATACTGCTCCTCATTGGGAAGAATGATATTATTATTGATATTAACACAGGCACCAAGGAACCAAGTCTTCCCGGGTGGAGGGGGAGGGAACCAAGGAGACTTGGAGATGACCAATAGAAGAATGACATTTAAATGTGTCCTTATTTAGGGTTGTTGGGATAATGTATAGAATATGGTTAGCCTAGAAGTCACTGGAAGACAGAGATAGAATTCTACGGAATAGTTTATTCTGTATTCTACATTCTGACTCATGAGAATGCTCTGCAGCAATGGGACTCTAGATAAGTATTTACTTTTATTTGCTCACAAAGGATGTTAAGGTCTTTGACTAAGGAAATAATTAAATTTCCCCTCATGGCTACCCAAGGATTTTAAGGTTGGGAACATTTATTTATTGATTTATTTTAATTAAAGTACAAAGGTTTGGTTAAATTACAGAGTAAATTTATAAATTACAGATTACATTGCAGATCAGATGTACAGATTAAGTTTCTATCAGTGTCTGGGCATTGAGTTCCATATTATTTTTTTCTCTCCCTCCCTTATGAGGTATATGACTCATTTTCACCAGAAAGTGAATTGCTTCAGCAATGATTCACAGACTATAGTAGAAAACCACCTCCACTCCTGTGCCTCACCCCTGAGAATATATCATAGGTTCTGCAGAGTACATCTAGTTTGAAAAAGTTGCCCAGTTGACTCTGATACAAAGTACTTCCACATCCCCCCTCAGAAGACCGCATTGCCTTTACGACCTGCTTGAGAAACGCTATTAGAATTGAATGATTTGCACAAAATTAAACTTAATTTGTACAAATAAATTGTTAAAAGAATAGTCAGGCTTTCTGACTGCTGTGCTTTCTTCTGTTTTCTGGACCAAGGGAACAACCCTGCACAGGCAATAACCTACCCAAAGACTTCAAGCTAATTCATGGCAAAGCTGGATTTGAATGCACATTTTGTCAGATCCCAGACAAGCATTTCGATTTCAAGGCCTGGCTGTGGAGCCAGAGGCCTGAGTCCAAATCCTGCTGCTGCTGCTATACTGGCTGTGAAATTCTGAGCAAGTTGCCAAACCCTTCTTCTCTCAGTTTCCCCATTTGTTAAAAATCGTGATAATAATGATAGCAGAAATCATTTACCTCACATGGCTGTTGTGAGGATTAAATAGTTTAATACAAGTAAAGCATCTAGAAGAGAGACTGATACCTGGTAGGAATAACAAAATGACCTTTTTTTCCCCCTTTTTATCAGATGGCAAACTTGATGTCAATTCTAATTGTGTTAATGAAGAGCAGCCAGAGGCTGAAGCAGGAATCTCTCAAGAGGATTGTAACCCTAAGGATTCTGTGGAAGGGGAGAAAGAACACCCTCAGAATGCAGCTGGGCTGGATGGCTTACAGGATGCTCCTGCAGGTCCACAGGAATCTGAGGAGTGAAAGCCAGAGCAGGTGCCATTGTGGACGGTTCATACCCTGGCAGGTAGCTGGAAAGCTCATGTGACTGTGTCCTCACTGCCTCATGACACCGCATGGCACCATGGCAGGATTCCATGTTTCCTAGAATAGATGCCTTCAAGCAAAGCTCTGTCTACCATGCTCTGATTTCCTAATGATTGCTGTACTGTAATTGGACAGATACTCCAAGGGAAAATTTTTATTTCAAAGTATCAAAGAAACATTTTTATTCCCTTTCTGAGGCCAGCTTCCCAGCCATTGTTCTCAAAGCCAAAGAAATCCCTTTAAAGAAGAAATATAGGCTCTGGGGAACAAAGGGACAAGCAAAACAGGTGTAGGAGAGAGATCTTTAGAAAGGATTTTCTAGCCACTGAGATGGGTAAATGAATCATAACGTATATGTGAATAAGATGCATATAAATAGCATTTACAATAGTGAAGTCTTACTTATTTAGATGCAATGACATGAAGAAAAGTTGTATGTTACAGGATCTGTCACAGTTCAGCTCACTGTAGTTTTATATAGAAACGATCCTGAGCAATCTAAACTTTATATGGTTCTTGCAGTCACGTTTTATCTTTAGTATTTGTACCTTCAGAAATGTCAGAACTAAGGCCTAGCCACAATTATCTCAGCATGTGCATTAAAAAGGATGTTTCATGAAATTTCAGATTAAATAATGGCTAAACATAGTGTGTCCCCAGTTATAAAACCAATTCATGTGCCATATTCTACTTGAAAGGCTTTTATCTTCCTGTAAGCTTTTCATTGGGCTCTTCCTGCCCAGAGACTGATTTATAACTGTCACTTTTAGAATGTGCTGGCACCAGTTTTTAGCATATGCAGTACAGAAGCAGAGCTAGGGCCTGATCGCCGAAGATAGCACTGCGTTTCAGAGTTTCTTGTGATGATTGTCAAATAAATCGTGCCTACTGATATAACCAGCTCCACATCTTGTTTCCTGGCTCATTGCTATCGAGGGATGGCAGATATTAGAGAAATATTAAGAGAACTTACATTTTGGGAAATTCAGCCAATACTAGAAAACAGAGTAATGAGTATTTTCATGTGTAAAATTGTAAATCAACATGACTGCATTTCCCACCTCACTGCACTGGTCATATCCTTCTGAGTTGCTGGCTCTCTTCTTCCTTCCTCTCAGTGACTTCTTCCAGCCCCAGCACCACACCTTCTGCACGCCCTCTAGCACGCTGCTCCAGAAAGACATCAGGTGAGCGAATTCAGTGTGAAGGGTTAACTGGGTAGGAATTCAGCAGGCAGATTGCACCTAAACTTGTCAGTTGTGACAAGCCTCACCAATCTTTTTTATGTGCATTATCTGGTTTTTAATTGTTTTTGTGTGCGTGTGTTTGTGTTACCGCCATTTTGTGTTAACATGATGCCTGTCTTCGGATACTATGGGGGGTTATGAAAAAGCAGGAAGAAATAGGAAAAGCAAGAGATGTGGCAACGTAGAGGTACTTTTTCCCTTCATCGAAGGGAATGCTGACATGAATCAGAGCTCTAACACCGCTGTAACTGCCAGTGGACGAAGGGGACTTGAGGTGTAAGCCATGTCAACATTAAAATTTTCTACAGATATATTTCAGGGAAGAGGTGGTCTGAAAATGGAGTTTAAGAGACAATGATTCTGATTATACTCCCTTCCTTTATTATACATAATTTCAAATAGATGTTTCCATTATATTATAATACCGTCAAAATAGGTGGTCATCTAGTTCATTTTTTTTTTAAACCATGTTGAGTTATTTTCAATAAGCTATCAAGAAATTTTTCTTGGAGCACCTGGGTGGCTCAGTTGGTTAAGTGTCTGCCTTCAGCTCAGGTCATGATCCCTGGTCCTGGGATGGTACCCCCCACAGGGGCTCCCTGCTTACTGGGGAGTCTGCTTCTCACTCTTGCTCTGCCCCTCCCCCCTGCTGCATGCTCGCTCTCTCTCTCTTTCTCTCTCTCTCTCTCTCAAATAAATAAATCTTTAAAATAATCCAAACACTTTTGCTTCTGGGAAGCAGAATAGACATACTTCCCTCTATTTCTTCTACTAAGTAAAACTAAAATCCTGGATATTATATATCAAACAAACATAAGACTGTAGGATAGAGAAATGAAGCAGACTGGCTGGGGACCTCAGGATCCAAGCAATGACATTTTGTTTTTTCTCTGAGGCTTTTGTTTTTTGTTTTGTTTTGTTTTGTTTTTTGCCTCATATATCCAGTCATGATGCTGAAGAAGCTGACAGGATGGACGCACCAATAGTACAGATCAAAATAAGTCCCAATAAAGGACTGCCAGATTTCAGACTCAAAACTGCGACATCAACTCATTCTTAAATTTCTGGCCTGTCTTGGCCTGCCCTGCAAATTCTGTATTTGCCAGCCCCCAAAATGTCATGAACCAATTCCTTAAAACACTCTCTCTCTTTCTATGCATATACCCTATTCAGTTTCTCTGGAGAACCCTGACTAGGACACCAGGTGTCTTACTTTGGGCTGCTACAAAACAAATTACCATAAATTGGGGTGGTTTAAATAATAAACATGTATTTTGCATAGTTGTGGATGCTAGAAGACATCACAGTGGTCAAGCTTTTGGTGAATACCCTCTTCCTGTCTACAGAAGGCCATCTTATTGTTTTGTTCTCACATAGTAGAAGGAGGGTAGCCAGCTTTCTGGCCTCTTAAAAAGGCATAATCCCCTTCATGAGGGCTCTACTCTCATGACCTAACTACCACCCAAGGGCCCCGCCTCCAGATACCATCATGTTGAGGGTTAGATTTCAGTATACAGATTTTTTTGTGTAAGGACACAAGCATTCAGTCTATGACATCAGATACAATTCCTAAAGGACACAACTGCTCTTGGTAAAAGAATGAGAGTATTGGCTGACATATACCAAGCACTGACTGAGAAAGCCACTCTACCTAAGACTTTATGTCCATTGTCTAACTTAATCCTTGAAATTTTATGAATTAACTGTTATTACCATTAAGAGGAAATGAAAGCTTAGAGAAGTTAGCTAACTTGTCCAAGTAACAACTAGTAAGCAGAAGAACTCAGCTGGGTCTGATTGTAGAGCCCCAACCATTAGCCGCTACCCTGTATATAGATCTATAAGTTGATATTTTCTGTTTCTTGGTCATGAGAGCTGATGGATCCTGAAATATTCAACTGAAAACTTCAGTCAGCTTGAATGGTTCTCTGTTGCTTAAAACAAAGAACTTAGAGCACCATCTTAATTGTGTGTTGCATTTTGTAGAGTTTTAGGTTACTTAAGTCAGGATCGTGTCTTCTCTTTTGTGTTTGTCCCTACATGGTATTTATTACAATATCTTCAAATCTTCAGTCACAGCCACTCTGCGGCCCTTCGTTACTGAGTATGAAATATGAGTGCATTTTAAGGAAATCTTTTTCTTCATATAAAGGAGACGTTCTCTCATTAGTTCTTTTACAAGGAGATTAAAATTTGCTAGCCGTATTTTTGTAATTGGAATAATTTTTTCATCCTTTTCAGCAATTGCAGGTTTAAAAATAAAATATCAAGCTACACACTTTCACAATTCTTTTAGTTGTTAACCTGGAGATTATAATATCTAACTTACTGCAATCTAATTCAAAATGAATATTGCTTATGCAATGTATGGGCCAGCTTGAATCTAATCCCAAATATACCACCATTTCCATCATGAAATAAGTTGCTGCTCTGGCCACCCACCATCTATTGCTTGGTGGGTCTGAGAGTACTCAGCTCATGATGAGTAGCTTTGGTCAAAGTTACCTGATGTTCATTGGTCAGGCTGTTAGTATTAGGGCAGATGCAGTAATTTGCCTAAAACTGCTCTTCGAACAATGACTAGTTCTCTGCTGAAGGTAGTATGGCCTTACTCAAGAACCTTTTGAGACTGCTCCGTGACTTTCTTAGAGTTTGCCAGGCTTCACCAAGTATCCTTACCTACCACAAATACTTCTAGCACCATAGGTTATACTGAGTTATTCTATTAGTTACCTATTGCTGTGTAAGAAATTAGCCCCGAATTTATCAAGCTTGAAGCATCAATAAGCATTATCTCATGTAGTTTCTGCAGGCCAGAAATACAGGAACAGCTTAACTGACTGATTCTGGCTGGGCATTTCTCAGGAGGGTGCAATACAGCTTTCAGCCAGGAGTGCAGTCATCTGAAGATTTAATTAGATCCAGAGGACCTGCTTGCAAGATGGCTCACTCATATGGTTGTGGCAACAGGATTCCCTCACAGGGCCTCAGTTCCTCCCCGATGAAGCTCTCCAGAGGACTGCATAAATGTCCTCACAACATGGTAGCTGGCTTCTTACAGAATAAGTGATCCAGAGGAGAGAACAAGAGAACATTTCAATCCTTTCTCTGACCAAATCTTGGGATCCACATACTATATCACTTTTGTCTTGAGCCACTCACCCATGCCAATGACCAAAATAAATCTCTTTTCCTTCCCCCAGGTACAACACTCTGTCAGGGGCCATTCCTGAATTTTCTGGTTTTGTATAGAATCCTAAGTGCCACAGGTGAAAGAAGGTTACAGAGTCTCAGGGACAGTGCACCGTTCCCCCTAGGGCTTCCATCCCCTGCCTGCTTGGTTTCAGCCTCACTTCTACAGTGTGTCTCTATTCTGTGTGTGTTACATTGTGGTGGTGTCTAAGTACCATCAGATAGGAGGAAATGTTACTCTGCTTTTTATAAGCTTTTGGTCTAGCTTTTTAGCTTAGCTGGGGAAAACCAGCTGTGCATTTTGTCTCTTAGCACCATGCAAATGCTAAAAGCTTTTCTGGTCTCTCTCCTAGCAGCAGGCTTCCAGCTAAGCCAACCTCACATCATTAGCCCACACCCAGAACTGGCACATGCCTTTAAAGGTGACATAAAAAGACAATAGACTGGATAAATAAATTGTGGTGTAATCATACAATGGAATACCATGCAGCAATGAGAATGATAAAGCTATTGTCTCTAGCAACAACATGGGTGAATTTTATAGTATTGAGTAAGAGAAACCAGAAAGATTTAAATGAAATCATTCAAAGACAGACACAATTAATTTACAGCTTAGAAATCATAACAGTGATTACTACTAATAGGTAATAGGACTGGTAACAGGAATGAAGAAGCACTTCATGTGCTGGTAATAGTCTATTTCTTGATCTAGGACTGCTGTTACATGAACATGTTCATTTTTTGAAAATTTTGTCGAGCTGAACACTTGATGATTTGTGTACATTTCTGTATATACATTTTACTTTAACAAAAACATAAAATGTATAGGGATTATATTAGTGGTGTTGCTGTTTACATTCACATGTTATAATAGAATAAATATATAATATGCCTAAGAGAAGTTTAGGCAGAGAAGTTTAATAACAGAAAGTTTAATAACAGAAAGTTTAATAACAGAAAACCACTAGGATTTCTAGAAATATCAGAGGTTATCTCAGAGTAACTGTGAGCATTTGAGGCTCTGTGCCTTTCTCATCAAGGTATTTTTCCTCTCGTGTTGGAACTGTGTCCCAGTTCAGGGAGGTAGTAGCCATAGCTGATCTCTTCATGGACCTTACGAACACAGCATCTTCTGGGTCATCAAACACAGTTCTGCAAAAATGGCAATATGTCAAAAAAAAATCCATTAAGCTACAGAGAAATTTTAATTTAAACAAATAAATGCCATATTTTTCTATGCTCTTTGGAGCATCGTACCACTAACAACTTTGGGCTTCTACTGACAAATGACTTTCAGAACTATGAATGTTATTTTTCCTATATATATTGTTTATTTTTAAAAATTCAGTCTTCGAACATATTTGGGATCAGCTATTTCAGTTTAGATCTCACACATTAATGTGTTTATGATTTGAAATCAGTGTTAGATGATTAAAATATTTCTAGATGCCATATGCATATTAGTATCTTAAATACATTTTGTTAGATATTATTTCTCTATGTTATGTATTATTTTAAAAACGTGTTTGGGGATATATTTTTCAACCCTGAAACCAAAGAAAAACCTAAGTGCAAAATTGAAAAAGAATGATGATTTTAAAATTCATCAATATGCATGAGTTTGAAAAGTTTTCCATAGTTTAATGAAGCATTTGCTTTTGAAAATGTGAATTCCCGGCAGCCCCAGTGGCTCAGCAGTTTAGCGCCACCTGCGGCCCAGGGCATGATCCTGGAGACTCGGAATCAAGTCCCACGTCAGGCTCCCTGCATGGTGCCTGCTTCTCCGTCTGCCTGTGTCTCTGCCTCTCTCTCTCTCTGTGTCTCTATGAATAAATAAATAAAAATCTTAAAAAAAAAAAGAAAATGTAAATTCCGGTGAATATAAAATGTTTATCTATATAACTGCTCTCACTGAACATATTTAGAGGAACATTATACATTTATAATTTGCTAGTAAGTCTTAGGTTTTTTATTTTATGCATTGAATCAGACTTTAATTTATTCCTGGTTAAAATAATAATATCCAAAACCTAAATATGTCAAATATGAGTAAATAGCTTGTGCTTATTTGTCATAGAAAGACAGTAATTTTTCCCATCCATCAGTTAGTCATTCTTTAAATGTAAATTTAACTAACTAAAATGTATTTTGGGAAGTAAAGGTAATTTAAAGTACATACAATTATGAAATAATTTGATAATAAAAGTAAAGTTTAAAAAATCACTTACTTGTCTACATTATTCGCAAATGCAAAGTCTAAAAAAATACATTTCTGTTAGTATTTTTCAAACATTTATTCAGCATTTAAAAACAATGGAACAGTGCTATAAAGGAAAAGTCTAGAGCACCATCAAGGTATCATCAAGGTATTTTTGATTTTTGAATGGTCATTTTTTCTGATTTTTGAATGGTCATTTTTTAAAATTTAAATTCAGTTTGCCAATATATAGTATAACACCCAGTGCTCATCACCTCATGTGCCCTCCTTAATGCCTGTGATCTTGAATGGTCATTTAGATGAATAGTTCAATCCTTCAAAAATGCCTTGATACTACCTAAACTCAAACTGAACTTTTCTTAGATATAGTGCCTTGGATTAGCTTAAATTCTGAGGCAAATTCTTTAATTCAATACAGATCTCAAAACTCTGGGAACAGGAGGCTTAATCAATTAAGTTTCCAGTGGAATCCAAGTGGGTATTTTTGTAATTAAGATATGGAGTCTCATACAGAAACCAATCCTCTTTTTTCAGATAGACACATGCATCTATAAATGAACTAACAGACCAAATGAGGAGAAATATTTAGGGCAGTTTAAACCATTTGGATTCTTGGCATTAACTTCAAAGAAATAGAATAAACAAATCCTAGATAACAAGAATCTCCATCTTCCCTAGCTTTGGGAGCTCAAAGGCTGTCCTCAAAGCTGGGATTTCTTATGGTATCTTCCAGAGACAGTCATTGCTTTGTTCATTCCTCTCCAAAGGCCTAGTGCCAGGCTAGGCATGGAATGTACCAGCACCTGTTGGGCCACTGAAGTCCACAATATGAGTCTTGCCAATCTGCAAGCAGCAGGGAGCAAACAGCCTCTGCCTTAGAAGAGCTCATGGCATCATTCCCTTCACAAATGATGCTTCCTTACTGGTTTAGGGATCACACTTTGAGAACCCCTGCTCTATGCTACACTTCTGCATCCTGAACATGTCCTACAGACATTTTTTTTTTCTTTCTCTTCTCTGGGACATGTAATGGATAAAGGAACAAGTTCAATGACATCTTGTGAAAACAAGCATAGAGAATGATGGATTCTACAGTATAACTGCCCTGGTCCCTGAAAAAGTCATGGAAACAAATTTAGAAATCTAAGTTTAAAAAGAGTAAAGGTCCATAACAACCAAATATAATTATGAACCTCTGACTGGATTGTTTTGAAAAAGCAGCTATAGCAGCCATGTTGGAAATACCGGGAAACTTTAAATATATATTATTATATATTATGTAATATGAGTACACAAATTTTTTTTTTTTAGGTATGATATGGGAATTTTGGATATATAGGAGAGCATCCTAGTGGTGTAACAGCCACCTTGTAACCAAAAAATACCCAAAGAGTAGGACAAAAGAGATATATTCTTGAACACTGATGATTACCACTGACTTTTGCACTAATACCGTACCTTTGTATTCTTTGCTTTGTGAGAAAAATCGCTATTTCCTTAAGTCATTGATGTTGGATTTCTGTTGCATGTAAGAACTTAAATTCCAACAGATGAAACATCACTGAAGATATTCAAGTTATATTTGTATATAATGACTGTATATGAATCCAACCCAAACATTAATGGTGGTTATTTCTGGGTGAAGAAATTGTAAATGATCTTTATTTCTTCTTAACTCTTTTTTCCATGTTATCAAAAACTTATAGCTTTAATTGGTGAAACTGGTGATCATGGTAATAGTAAGTATAGCTTATTTACTGAGTATTTCATACTACACTAGATACTGAAGTGAGAACTTCAAGGTAATATCTCATTGTTACCACATTACTTCACTTAATATTTGCAAATGCAGATAAAATTGCATATTGCTTTAATTTGACTAATAACATTGGGAATATTTATTTCAGTATGTAGGTGCTTAGCTTATTGTAAATTTCAGTTGTTACTATTAGATCAGCCAAAAGTTGGAGGAATTTTAATTTCATCTTTTTTTTTCCCCCCCCAAATACCTGGAGGTACTCTCTGGGATGGTTTTTGCTTAAATGGTGCTCTAGGATTCCATGAGGCATCTACTCTTCTTTGGAATGCTATTGATTGAACAATATGAGTCCTTCTATGGTTAAAAATGGTAATCATTGATCTTCTTTCTTTTTCTGTAACTTCTGACAAATGCAAAAAGTAATGTTATTGCATTGCATTGTAGAGATGCAGAGTGATTCAGAATACAGTTGAACACTTTCAATAATGCGTTTATCTAAAGTATGTTATATGTGAACATCCTGTCAAAACTGTGAAGGGCAATCACAATTATTTCCATAATCTTATAAATGCTTAATAAACAAATGCCCCTCATGTTGTAAGGCACAGACATTCCCAGTGTACTCCAAGCACTTTCTAACACATCACCATGGATGATTGAAATCACATATATGATACATTCCTTCAGCTCCTCAGGGCTGTGAGGAATAACAGGAATAATAAACATTAGGTTTTATATTTCCTCATTAAGAAGTTAGTAATTAATTATTAAGAATGTTCAAACCTATAGAGATAGAAGATAAGTAGAGAGATGGGTAATATACATTTGGAGGTAAAAGAAGCTCCACCCAAATGTAAAGGGTAATGCAGTGAGGTTGATTATTTTTGTGACTTGTATAAATCAGACATACTAGTTTATCTACAGTGTTTAAACTGTATTCATAAAGAAATCATTGAGATAACAAAGAATACTATTTTTAGAATTTAAATAAGCCTTAAGAGATTTAGTCCAATTCTCTCATTTTTGAAATAAAACACTAAAATGCCATGAATAGATGATTTGGCATTCAACACATTCATGTCAAACTCAGGAACAGAAGACCTTTCCTCACACTTAGATGGCCTTTTCAACATAGTGATCAAGAGAAATGAAATCCTAAACTAGGGCATATTTTACAGGTCAAAAACTTCAAAACTAAATAATTGAAAAATTTCCTTTACAAAGATGATTATTTTCAAAGACCTTCTGCATTTTTAAACTAGTGATTTATAAAGCTGCCTTTCAAATATTTCTCTGAAAGATGTATGCTTACGATTTTGGTCAAGAAATTCTATTCCTGGAAGGTGGTTGATTATATATAAACGGTACAGGTTATATTGGCACAAAGGGTTTTGGTAGAGACCTGCAAAGAATGAATCCAAAGTAAGATGTCATATTTCAAAACCAGTTTCTTTTATCATTTGACAAAATATAGGAAATTGCAGAATTAATATGAAACCTAAGTACATGTAAAGCTTTTGTTTCGTAGACCAAACCAATGGCCTAACCAAATGCATTTATTCAGAGCAGCACTTATTTCCCATTTGTTAAATTCATTCATTCAACAAATATTTTCTGAGTGCTTACTATATACCGAGAACTATGTGAGGTGCTGGGGACATAGTGTTGGCCCAGATCTACCACAAATGAAGAAAATTTTAACATGTCCTTAAGTTAATTAGTAAAGGAAGGACAAGATATCAGCTCTGTAGAGGTCTTTTTTTTTTTTCTTTTTAAGATTTTATTTATTTGAAAGAGAATAAGCTGGGAGAGGGGTAAGGGAAGAGGGGGAAGCTGACTCCCCAATGAGCAGGGAGCCTCATGCAGCACTGGAGCCCAGGACTCTGGGATCATGACTAGAGCTGAAGGCAGCTGCTCAACTGACAGAGCCACCCAGGTGCCCCTCTGTGGAGGTCTTGATGCTGTTCTTCATTAAAGAATTTTGTTCACTTGCTTCTCTTCTTCCAGTCTCAAAGGTCACAAGGGTGCCCTGTGGAGATGGGCAGAGGTGCAGTACACTGATCTGATACAGTTTTCTTTCTCCACTTAAAACCATTGCACATGGTTCAGAGCATGTAAATACCCCTAGCAGCTTCAGATCTCAGCAGGAGCAGAGCTGAGCAGGTGATGATCTTGCATCTTGTCTACCTCTGGCCAGAAGCACATGCCTCTAACTTCCTTTGCTCAGGTGCCGCGATACCTAATGAGTCACGCTATCACAGTGGCTGGAGGTGGGAGGCAAGCCCATGTAGCAGAGCTCCTGTCGTTTCTGACGTCACATTCTTTTTTTTTTTTTTGATGTCACATTCTTTAGGCATCTGTATGCAGGTATATTTTTTTAAAATCTTCAACTAGAAGTGAGGGTTTTACTTTTATGGAAAAAGCAAGGAATCTTCTCTATCCCCCCATAGTATTAAATAGGGTTACTTTAGTACAATGTGAAATAAAACTTTTATGATTTCCACGTGGGTGTCTTTAGCTATTGGATTCTATCTACATGCAACTTCTAGAAAACACTTTTGGAAAATACATTCGGTGAGGAGAACCACTAGGTGGCAATAGTAGAAAGAGTTCCAGCCATTGTACAACTGCATTACTCTCACAAAATGGGGCTCATTTAGGGTACATGTTAAATTTCTGAGTAGTGCTGTAGCATTTGACTATAAAATAGAGAGAGGCTTGATAAAAGCATGAAAATATTAGGCATTAGAAGCCCAGGAAAAAACAGTTGGCAAGATAAAGAAGATGGGTGTGTGCTTAAAAGACAACAAACTATTTTGCCAAAACTTGAAAAAGTTTTAGCAAAATCATCTAGATGTTTTCCCTGTAGGTTACATAACATTTTGATTTTATCATATAAACACAAATTTTTCTGGCTAATAAAAGCATTACATATAACTACTCCCCGGGGAAAACTTGAGCTTTAGAGGGACTTAAAGCAGGCATCGTCAGAAGACATCTGGTGCATAATAAACAAAAACTATGAGAATTAGGCATTAAAGAAAAGGTAAAACCAGGAGCAACAAAGATTTTAAAAGATAGGAAATATGTATGCAGTGGGGGAAGTGAGAGGAAAAGTGAAATGGAAGCTTTTCAAAATTTCTCGACTGGCAAAAAGGGTTTAAATTTTAATCTAAAAGGGAAGGAATTCACAGTGGTAATGAATAATTATAACGACTGGACAAGGAGTAGAATGGGTGGATGTATATTAAGCCAGTAATAAGGACAGATTCTAAAACGGGGATCATGCATTGTAGTTTAAGCCAGAAAGAGAAAAGCACCTCTTTCAAGGATGTAAAAGCAAAACACAGTTGTTGTTAATGAGAGTTTAGGAGGAAGAAAGCATTACACATGCTTCAGTGCAGAAGTCTGCTCTGTGGTTACTGTGTTGGAGAATCACATCTGGCACCTCATAACCCCATCAGACATTCAAGCAGCCAGGAGTAGAGTCTGCTCTTGCCTATGATGTGAATAGTAAATGTACCAATAACATTTACTCTTTGCACCCTCCTTCATATTCTCTTTTCCTTCTCAGAATGTTCCTATTTCATTTATTTTCTTGGCTTCTCCTCCTGGTCTTTAAATAAGTCATTTCTATATGTAAATTGAAAACCTGCTGGCTTCAGCTAAACAAAACATCAAATTTGGATTTACTACTCTTACATGAGTTATTAAGAATGCATCTCAAGACTGAAAACTTGATGTGTTTATTGCAGCTCACCATCTACCTCATCCTGATGTAAAATCTAAAGTCAGAACACTGGGCTGTTAGGCCAACCTCTGCTTAAATTAACTTTAAAAAAATAGAATTAAATAATTTGAGAGGCGTTTCATCTTTATGATTTTTCACTTTTTTCCTTGCTCGTAAGTTTTAGAAAGAAGCAATCTTATTTTCAACTCTTTTTGCCCCCCTTCCGTACTATAAACATTTATCATTTTGGATTTATGAGTTTTGGATTGATGCTATAAAATTACCATAAATTAAGTTTCTAAGATATGAAATTGGTTTCCTGTGTCTGAAAGTTCTGAAAGCCTTCCGTGATGTATGGGTACATTCCTTTAGAAACTATGAAGTGAAATTGCTTACACTTTCACTTTCAATAGGTTAATACTATTTAATTCACTTTCCCTCTAGGCTACTTATAGAGCACACCTCGGTGGCGCCAGCACTGTCTTGCTTATCTTAATTTGGGATTCTGAGTCTAAGCAATTTACATGTATCCAATAATATATCAAAATGTCTCTACTACCTTACTGCACAAGCTTGAATTACATGAGTCACATGTGTGAAGCTACTTATTATTGAAATGGAGGAGAAAAAAGTTACCTCAGTAATTGGCTTCAGTCAATTTTTAAAAACTTTTAAAGCTAAATTAGAAACCATCATTAAAGTGAACATTAGTTTTTAAGACCACCTTTGAAAAAAGTTGATGTGATTAATGATATACCAAACACCCATTGTTTTAAAAGATTCATTTATTTACTTGAGAGAGAGGGAAAGAGCAGAGGGAGAGAGAGAGAGAATCTCAAGCAGACTGTGTGCTAAGCGTGAAGCCCAACATGGGGCTTGATTCAAGGACTCTGAGATCATGACCTGAGCTGAAATCAAGAGTTGTGTGCCTAACCAACCAAGCCATCCAGGTTCCCCAAAACATCCATTTTAATAGATAGGGAAAATGATAGGTAAGTTTAAAGCAGTTATGTTCTATATCTATACAGAATAGCCTGTGGAAGTGAGCTTAGCTGTCAATGGTCAGACACTATGAGTTTGAGGTTCTGGCTCAAGGTTACTTAGTAGAGTCAGCATCTCCATTGTTTCCACCATCTTGCTTTGAAAGCTGTGGGCCACTGCACACCACATGTTTGTACTGAATATGGAAATCATCCCTGACTTTTAAAAGATAAACTTGGACTAACACAGGGGTTAAAGAGAGTTGGAGGGTCAGAATATCCTCTTCTTTGACACAAACAGCAAAGATCCACTTGGCTCTTTTTTATTGTGTGATTCTTCTGTTTTGTTGTTTGGGAGGGATGATCCCACCTTGAAGGGCATTTCAGGTAGAAGCTCGAATGAAGGGACCATTGAGATCATAGTCCTATCCTGATTTCGGTGTCCCTCTTCAGCCCCTGGCTATTTGCCCTCAGCAGTGGACTCGGGCCAAATGTAGGAGGAAAGAAAACTTTTAAGAACAGAACCTGAAGAAAATGGAGGCCCTCTCCTGAGAGGGGCACTCTATCGCTCCTGGTGAGTCCTTAAAGCACTGCTAGGAAGCAACTCTTAAAGATGATGGAATGCAGGTGTCCAAGTGTCCTTCCCAACAGTGGAGCTTAATGAAACAAAGCAAATTTGAGAGAAATGAGGAGAGCAAAACTTGAGGAACAGGAGAGAATGTAAGTATTTTGTGGCTCCTGCTGGTGGTGGTGTTTTGCCCACGTGCTGGGAAAGAAGCAGAGAGATGGAAGATCAAGAAAAGTCATCTCAGCCAGGAAGTAGGATTTGGACACACATTAGATCCTGAATTAGAACGACTTTGCTGAAAGGCAGGGAAGAGGAAGCAGGAGCTGGGGAGGGAGGGTATGGAAAGGTAGACCTCCTGGAGAGAAGAGGTGGGGCCCTCCTGACTCAGCCTGGAAGTCTGGAAGTCAGGAATTCCAGGTTCCAGGACCTCACACTTGGCTGCTGGGTTAGGCCTCCCTGAGGCTCCCAGCCCTGTGTCTCCTGGGCCATCTCTTGGCAAACCTCGTCACAGACGCCAGTGGAGGGGGAAATGCCGAAATGAATTAGAGGTTTCCCCTCCAGGCTATTTTCTCACCCTCTGAAGACCTTGTAATTGGAGTGGAATAATAACAACGCTTTAGCATTTTATGCGGGTTTTATGGCTTGAAAAGGCAAAAATGTTAACGCTTGAAAGTGCATGAATCTCTCATTTTAATTAATGAACTGAATCTAATCTGTGATTGCAAATGAACCTCAGAGAAACTTAATCTGGGCACATTACTGCCCCAATACAATGAGTAGTTCATTACCTGGGAACTTTTTCCCATAGAGTATCTTTAACCAAAATGAGGCAAGTAAAGTGTTCACAAAGTGCGTATTTGCTCCCAAAACTTTTCTCAAAATGCTTCTTTGGGGGAAATTGGACATAGCATTCTCTCCATTTCAAAAAAATAATCTCACTACAAAGATTCTCAGTTGGAACCATTGTAGTTATGTAACCTGAATTATAATCACTATGATTTTAAGGAGAGGTCACTCAAACTGTTGTGACAGATAATGATAAGGACTTGAAATTAAACTACCAGGCTGGCACAACAGTCTTTCAGAGAACTAGGAAAGGCACTCCTGTACTCCAGATCAGGGCTGACACAGTTCTGTGCTCATGCACACACAGTGAACAAGAGAGGCATGGGCTGGATTTCAGACTACCCACTCCCGGGCCAGGCACCTTCATTCAGGGCATAATCCTGTTGACTACGATAGGACAAACTTGAGTGCTAGCTTCCGAATCTTGTTTTGTAAAACTGCTTAAATTATTGAGTTTTTACATTTAGCAATAATCTGATTAGTTTCATATCAAGCTCCTTCAGCTCTCTAAGAAATAATTAGGTCAAAAGACATAAAACCATAAACCATGGGACTGTTGTGTCCCCTTGTATTGGGGTGTCATGTAGTGAATGCATGATAAATATTTACTGAATGAATGAATAAATGATAAATATTTATTAAGCAAGTGAGTGAATAGATGTGAAACAAAGAAATAAGGCATGAGTTTAAGTTTTGGCATTTCTTAGTAGTTTGGTTAAAGCTCAAAGACTTGCATTCCCACCATTCAAGAGGAAATCATTCTAATCACATCATAGGATTGCTGTGAAGATTTAAATGAGACTATAATAAGCATTTTCTCAACGGGAAAGACATTCAAATATGTTGTTATAATGATGATTATTTCAAATGTCAGTTATGTTGTTAAAATCTATTTACTACTTAGCAGACTTTCTAGACTGTGAGCATATTAATTCATCGTCTAATTTACATAATCCACAGTAAAACCATTTTTGAGTTTGTTACTGCTTCCAAATAATATTAATGTCAAGAAATGCTCTTTAAAAACATGTCTTACAGAGGTAGCTTAATATTTAACGTGATCCAGAGAGCTAGTTCGTTCCTATTATATGGAAAAATGAAGATAAATGAGAGTTCCAGATCTAACATAGACAGCCTTTTCATCACTGAAGCATTTGTTCAACACACAAGGGCCAGATAATTCCAGTACACAGGCAGGCCAGTCCTGGGTCTTTCACAGACCTTATCATGTTTCAAAAATAAGCATGGGATTATTTGGCATCTAAGGGATAAGGCAGCCATGTTGCCAGATCCACGAGACACCATTCAGGGTGTAGTCAATAGATACGTGCCCCTTGGACCTGTGAACTGAGAAGAATAAGATGGGAATAACCAGAGATAATGAAAACCTATTTAAATGGGGGAAGAGGAGAAGAAAGGGTGGTGATAGATACATCATAACTAGTGAATGGGTAAGGATGGTAAGTGGGGTTGAATGGTCTTGACCAACTGCCCAGTTTCTGGCCTGAGTAGATTTGCTGAAGGGAGGTGTGGGATATGGGAATCAACTCAGATTACTGTATGTTTGTGAACATCTGTCTCCAACTTCTTTCCAAAGGGAAAATCAACATGATTTTAGATTAACAACAAAAAAACCCCATGGAATTCTCATGAACTTGGCATAATTTTAATATTTGGCTTTGAATAATCTACGTATAAGCACATGAGTCATTTCTCCTCAATACAGTAGATGTTACTGATTAGCACTGAAAGCAAATGAAAACTATAATTACTCTATGTATCGATCTGATCAGAACCTCCACCATCAACACCATTTGGCACATATTCAAAACATTGTTTCAGGCAATTCTGAGAAATGAACAGAAAATGAAGAGGAAAGAAAACCACATCTATTTCATGACATTATATAAACAAGTCTCCCAACTCTAAAGTTTGGAAACCCACTCATTGGTCTGAGCGTCTTTTCCCTTGGTACACCCAGAACCATTTATCCTCTGTTGCAATCATGCACGGGTTATTCACCCTTCAAGATTATAAACTTATTGAGCAAGAACTGTGTATTATTTATTTTTCCAACCCATTTCCACTTTCTTCCACTACGTAGGTCACTTCCTTGCTGGGTGTGATTAAATATACATGAATAAAATTTTCTGTTCACCCACTTAGAAAGCTTTAAAAAAACTTCATTTTTTTTTCTTTTGGTGTCAGCTTTATTAATATAATTCGTATACCACATTATTAACCCATTGTAAGTATACAATTCATGTTTTTTAGTATATTCAAAGAGTTGTGCAATCTTCACCACAGTCAATTTAAAAATATTTCCATTACCCCTGGAGGAACCCCCAAACTTCTTATTCTTTAGCTTTGGCTCCCCAGACCCCTCTGTCCCCCAGCCCTGGACAAACAGGAATCTATTTAAAAATAATCACCTCTCAGTGTTGTTATCTCCTTAGATGTGTCTATTCTGGACATGTCATGTAAATGGAATTATAGAATGTGTGCCAGAACTTAGTTCTGAGATAAAACCAAACATACAGCTTTAAACATGTAAACCTTTTGGCATTTTTGTCACTTCCCTTTGGCATGCCATGTCATTTCTCAAAATTTTTTTCTACCTGTTATTCTTTCAAAAGCAAGTTTTAAAAGAGAGTAAGATTAAATCTTATTTTCAGGAATATTTAAGTACTTAGTTATAAACATTGATCAATATTAACCTTAAAAAATGAAACCTGTCCCATGTTATTACTATTTTAGCTTATGGCCTTATAAACAGACAAACTGATACTTAGGATCTTCAGATTTGGCATCCCCTTTAACTCTTTCACTGTGGCATCAATGTTTGTCAGCTCATTGTGGTGTAGCAAGAGTATGTACAATGAAGGCAAAGAGTGCAGGCCTGAAAGAGATTTTGTTTTTTATGAGATTTTAAACATTTGTAATGCTAATTAAGCATCCTAAGGAAAAGAAAACAAAGAATACATTTCAGCTGGTAAAAGGAGTCATTATTAATAATAATGTGACTTATCATTAAGAATAATACAACAAAGCATAAGAATTTGAATAATTGAGTGTGATGTGGGCCTGTGGAGCCAACTTCTTTCCACTGTTATTATTTTATGTTTTTTTTTATTTCCTGTAGCAATAATTTTTAAATTTGATTTCAGAAGGGTTATTTTCTTTACTTTTCTTTTGGTTGTGTTTTGTTTTGTTGATGTTACTTAGATTCATGATGCCAGTCAAGGGAATAATTACATATTTAATTCAATACCTTCCCCAAAATTGCTCAGGTAAATATTTTCTTTACACCACAGGAAGCCACATATTGATATCATTTTTGTTGATTCTAAATTTCACATTTTCCCACATTTTTAACATAAATTAAAATGAGTTGTGTCTTTACAGTAGCTGGCTGCATCATAGGTAAATTGGCAAGATTTTCTTTCTTAATGGCACATGGAATCATGATGGTTCTTTTGGCTCTATGATATGTGATATTTTAAAAAATGTTGCATGCTGAACCTCTTTGTATTTCATGATCCTAGTAGATCAGGTACTTTCATCATCAACTGAAATTGTCAACTTGACTTGAAATTGTCAACTTAGAGATAGTTACACATGTAAAATTAAAAATTTAACATGTAAAATGAAAAGAGGAATTTGGCTGGCAAAAATTATCGCCCCTAAAAACATGAAAACCATGTATAAAGTTGTTATATTTATTAATGCTCCCAAATATTGTTAAAATTTGTTTCCATAATACCCAGTTTGTGCCCAACTATGCAGGAGAATGGCAAAATTTCTATTTAAAACAAGATTCTTTTATATTTTGAATAAGGCACACGACAATATTACATTAAAATTGTAATCTAAAGCACATTTCTCAAAATGAAATATACATAAGGACATTTTAAAAAATAGATTTCCTCACATATTTTCAACAGAAACATTAAAAACAGATTTTTGTATGCCATTAGTGATAGGATAGTTATCAGTTATTACTTAATTGAAAATCTATTCAATTAGCTGAAAAAAAATTAAGACATACCTTTTATCTCAAAGATGGCATTGTTGTTTAGATACAGTTCTGTCAGACAAGAGTTTCTAGTTAGAAAGGTTATTCCTTGGAGCTGAAAATGAGAATTAGAGAATAATATACTTTCTACAGTAATTATATAGAGATATAAATAAATATGTGTGCATATGTGTGTGTGTACATAGACATATTTATAAAATTATAATAAGGTTATAAAGTTTGATGTTTGTTATTATTTCTGACCATTTGGTCTGGGCTATGAATTTCCTTCTGGATTGTCTTTGAGGGCATTGTGATGAAAAGGATGTTTTTCGGTAATTGAAGACAAACCTCTCATCCTGTCTCTTGCAAACTTCTTGCATAGTTTTCCATGCCTCGGTAATCTGGCCTAGCCCCTTTGCTCTGACTGTGCTCCTCACACTTCCGCACCCTGCAGTTTCATTGGATCTGGCCCCACATACCCACCAGGTGATGATCGCACATAATTTAGTGACTAGTATATGCCGAGGCCTCTCTCCTCAATGCTGAAGCCATTTCTGCATCTGTGCATGAGTCATGCCTCTCTTTTGCCTGCATGACTTTTCTCCCCAGTACATTTCTGATAGTTCCTGAGGCTCACCCTTGTCCAACAGGGCAATACCAACCAATACCAATACCACTCGAGGGGTGCCTTGGGGCTCAGTCGGTTCAGTGCCAGACTCTTGATTTCAGCTCAGGTCATGACCTCAGGATCATGAGACTAAGCTTGGGTCTCACACTCAGAAAGAAGTCGGCTTAAGAGTCTCCCTCTTCCTTTGCCCCTCCCCCATTCACGTGCATGTGCTCTCTCTCAAATAAACAAAATCTTTAAACAACAACAACAACAACAACAAAACTACAACAACCAAAAACCCCCCATGCTTGAGTGAGCTTCCACAGGAGGTTTCCATTGCTCCAGAGATTTGTTGAAACAGTTCTTTGGTCTCCTTGCATCTCACTACTGTCTTCTCATCCTGTTTTGACCCACTTTTTGTTTCTCTAAACTTGCTCCTGCATCAGCACTTTGAGTCTATGAGTCGTCTCCTCTTCTCCAGCTTGCTATCCTTTTGTAAACAGATCTCCTCCATTCAGCAGAGGATTCCGTCACCTGAATACGCACGGGAAGTCAGGTGCAGTGCTAAAAGCCCCACCAGCCACAAGCCCCCTTTGGCTTCACAGCTCCTCTTTTTCAACAAGGCCTTTCTTGACTAGCCTCCACACCCATGAACCTCCCCATTTTCTCGACCACGCCAATACTTCATTTGACTTGTACAATGAATCAACTTGCCTGCTAGTTTTATGTCTTCATTAAGGAAAAGAACCATATTTCTTTTTAAAAAAAATTTATTTATTCATGAAAGACACACAGAGAAAAGCAGACATAGGCTGAGGGAGAAGCAGACTCCTTGCAGTGAACTTGATGCGGCATTCATTCCAGAACCCCTGGATACCTGAGCCAAAGGCAGATGCTCAACCACTGAGTCACCTAGGTGCCCCCAAAACCATATTTCTTCAGTATCTTATCCCTTCCCTTCCACCCCCCATTTTCCTGGCAGTATGGTAAAGTCCCATCTTTTTTCATTTTTAAAGATTTTATTTATTTGAGAGAGTGCGCAAGAGAGAGTGCGCAAGAGAGAGAGAGAGCAAGCACGAGTAGGGGAGGAGGGGCAGAGGGAGAAGGAAAAGAGAATCCTTGCTGAGCAGGGAACCTTGATGTGGGGCTCTTGATCCCAGAACTCCAGGATCATGACCAAACCAGAAGTCAGAGACCTGACTGACCAAACCACTCAGACACCCCTCACATCTTACTTGTAAGATTAGATTGGGAAGTTAGTTCTATTAGCTGCAAATAGTCAAAAGCAGTCTTGAAAAATTCCTCGAATGAACTATTATCTATAAAGGAAATGGGATAGTCAACTCTAGACTGAGGGTCAGAAGTCACTCTGTTACTCTGCAAAGAGAACTCCATTTTTTAAAAAAATATTGACTCTATAACTTTGATAAATTTTATTTTTTTAGATTTTATTTATTTATTTATTGATGAGAGGCACAGAGAGACAGAGACAGAGACATAGGCAGAGGGAGAAGCAGGTCCTCGCAGGGAGCTTGGTGCAGGATTCCATCCCAGGACCCCAGGATCACGACCTGAGCCAAAGGCAGACACACGCTCAACCACTGAGCCTCCCAGGTGCCCCAACCTTGATAAAATTTAACAATTTGCTTGAGTTATAAGGATGGTAGAGCCATAGAGGTGGGGCAGGTATCTTCTAAAAGCAGCAAGTAAGTTAAATAGAAAGCTATCTTTCCACTTAATACAGGATCTATTAGGGAGAATATTCCTATTAAATAGTTATTGACCAAGTGTTTGGTACTTTCTATATAGAATTTTCTATACTAAAATATATGCTCATGATTATGAATTAGTTTTAAGTGTTTATTAAAGCTAACCATAATGATTATTGTTATCTGTTAAATAGAACTGTTTTGACCTTCGATGGGCTGATGCAGAGAGATGCCAACTCATATGATTTATTGAAAATTTTAGTTATGAGACATAGCTCAGAAAAGCTATTTTAGATTTGTATCCAAAGTTTCAAAATGGATTTCTTGAATAATTTTCTTTGATTTTATTGTTATGTTTGCAACATTCACAAATTATGAAGCCATAAAAGGCACGTGTGCCACTCATCTCATTTCACAGATTCATTTGCACCAAATTATGCCAGCATCCATGCAGGAGGACCACCAATTATTTCCCCATAGCTTTTATTAAGTCATGCAAGGGATTATGTTCCTCCCAGGTAGGCCATACAATGCAATGAGGGGTGGGTCCCAGTTGGCTTCCTATCCCTTTCTCCTTTTCCTACTGACTTCCTGACAGCAATTCATTGTCTTCTGTCCTTCCTCTCACCATTCCCTGATCTAATGATAGGCACACCTGACACAAGTATAAGAAAAAAACCCCAGTGGAAACCATGAGTTCCTTCTACTCTTTTTTTCCAGTTGTCTGCCCGACCACACATCAACAGAACATTTCTAATTACTCAAGACTTTAATTTCTCTTGCATTACTTATTATCACAAGAAGAATGCTAATAAACTCAATAGTTTAATCTTGATTATAGAATCATGATTTTCCTAAGAGCATTAACATCCTTTGGACCATGATTACTGGGATTTTAAGACTGCACTGTTTGCTGGGGGGAGATGAGTAGGGAAATGGAGTGGAAAGAGATAAAGCCAGTTCATGAGGATCCAGGAAGCTATTACAAGATTTTGCTCAGAGGACTGTTACTGTCCAATTTTATTTTAGAAAGAAAATAGCAGGGAAGAACCTGCTTTAGAAGGGACAGTAAGTATAATGGCAGGAGTTAAATGAGAAGGGTGTTACACTAATTCAGAAGATTATGTGGTGGCCCAGAGTAGAGTAATGACAGCGGGAGAAGAAAAGGAGAGGGAATTGAGAGACAGTTCCAAGGTAGAATTCACAGGACTGAATGGATATTGCAATGTAGCAAGTTGTTGAAATCAAGATCTAGGAATGAGAAATGGAAGACATGCCACTGTTCTGACACTCAAGCCATTGTTAAAGTAAACGTTACATATTATATATATATATATATGTGTGTGTGTGTGTGTATATATAGTGTGTATATATATATATATATAGTGTTATAATTATCCATTTAGAGAAGTCTACACTATTAATTTGAAGGATCACCATAGGATTTATGTTGAATGTGACATTTTACAAATCATTTACTTTAGTTCAGGGTTTAGCACATAACAAGTGATCAATAAACAATAGCTATTATTATTTTAACCATTATTTTTTATAGAGAGAGAGTTGAGAGTACTTACATTTAATGTAAAGCACTTACAGGTGCCCACTGAGGTACTACTGGAGAAAAAAATATGCCAGCATGAATTTAAAATAAAGGAGGAGGGACTTCTGGGTGGCGCAGTGGTTAAGCGTGTCTGTCTTTGGCTCAGGGCATGATCCTGGAGTCCTGGGATGGAGTCCCACATTGGGTTCCCTGCATGGGGCCTGCTTCTCTTTCTGCCTGTGTCTCTGCCTCTCTCTCTCTCTCTCTCTCTCTCTGTCTGTCTCAAATGAATAAATAAATAAAATATTTAAAAAATAATATAATTAAATTAAAGAGGCATTCTTTAGAATAGGGCTTCTCAACTTCCATAACTATTGATATGTAGGACCAGATTATTCTTTGTTGAGGTTGAGAACATTGTCTTGTGCATTGTAGTATGTTTAACAGCAAATCTAGTCTCTACCCACTAGATGCCAGTAGCATACACACGCTCCACTTGGTACAATCAAACGAGAAAGATTGCCATAAGTCCTCTGTAAGGGAGAGATGGTGTGTGTGTGTGTGTGTGTGTGTGTGTGTGTGTGTGCAAAGTCACTCCTGGCTAGGAACTGCTGATTCAGAATCAAGGGAATAGAGGAGAGTCATGTCAATGAACAATTGCTAGTTATCAGTTGGCCCCTGTGCTAGATGGTTTCACAGGCATTATCTAATATGATGCTTTACGGTAGCCCTGTGTTATTCCTTAGGAGGGAACTGGGCTCAGCAAAGTTAAACAACATTCTCAAGGTAACAGAGCAAGGATTCAAATCCAAGACTGTCTGATTCTCAAATCAAAAATTGGCATATAGTACATGATAATTAGGTTCATTAAAATAGAGGAACCTCCATATAAAGTAACCAGAAGACATTAATTTAAATATACTTTGAAGTAATGGAAAATATTATTACTTTGAATAATGTAAAATATTCTATAAATTATTTTTTCTACTATTTCAGAAATGTTCTTCAAAAATCATGTTTAAAACACATCCCAAAATATTTGGCATGAAATGGAAAAAAAATAGAAAGTAATCTTTTAACATGTATGTCTAGCAAAGTACTATATATATATATATGTATATCTATGTATATATATATATATATATATATTCAACCAACTAAAATTCCATGATGTATATTGTAGAACTATTTGAAAAAAAGTTGTAATTCAAAAATTCTTCATAAATATTTAAAATAGAGCATTAAAAAAG